TCCTGGCCTTATCCTGCCTAGACTTGAGCTCCAGAAAGCCGGGGGAGGGGGAGACACAGACAGGGTCCCCGGATGTCCTGTAACCAAACCAGGACATCCCCCAAAGCACACACTGACCATCACCTACCTACACTCCCCCAGCCCCACGTGAGCGCTCACGCTGTCTCTGCACACACTCACATGCATACACACCCGCTCATGTATTCATGCACACAGTCACGCTCGCATATTCATTCACACACATCTGTTCACACATTTACATACATGCACCTACTCCTACATACAACATACACGGTCATGCCCACTCTCACATTTACACGTGTGCACATACCACATTAGACAATTCCACTCATGTGTGTACACACCCATGCACACCCACACTCACTAAAGGCAGGAGCAGAGTTCCCTGGTTCTGTGCTCCCCACCCGGGAACCTGCTCTCCCACAGGCACTGCCCCCCGCCTGAGCCTACAGCCAAAAGCCCGGGAGCAGAGCGGCCGTGAAGCGTCTGGCGTCCACTCTGTGCTCCTCCCATCAGGGCTCACCCACCGCCCTGGTGGGCTCATCCCTGCGCTCTGAGTTAGCCACAAGATGGCCCATCTGCTCGCAGGCCAGTGGTCGGCAAACTCATTAGTCAACAGAGCCAAATATCAACAGGACAACGATTGAAATTTCTTTTGAGAGCCAAATTGTTTAAACGTAAACTTCTTCTAGCGCCACTTCTTCAAAATAGACTCGCCCAGGCCGTGGTGTTTTGTGGAAGAGCCACACTCAAGGGGCCAAAGAGCCGCATGTGGTTCGCCAGCTGCAGTTTGCTGACCACGGTCCTAGGCTAAGTCTGCTGGTGGGAATGCCCCAGCATTCCTTCCTCTCTCCTGACACTGAAGGAGTTGGTGAGTCCTCGTCACCCAAAGACCAGGGAATGGGGGAGGGTGCCACTAGCAGAGTGTAAGCAGGAGCTGGGAGTGGTGGAGGGGTGCAGACTCCCCTGCGTGGTTGTTGATGCAGTGGTGGTCTCCCTCTTCTCCTCCGAGAAAACAAAACCAGGGCCACCAGAAGTCAGAATACTGAGGGCACATAAGGCCCAGCCCCGCAAGCCTCAGAGCGCCCACATGTGTGTCCACGGGCCCCTGGCTGGTCTGGGACCAGGGGCACTCCCTCTCTGTGCCCGCCGGCTGCCTGTACACATCCAGCTGCTCCGTGGCTGCACAGAAAGTAAAGTTGACAATGGGAGGTAGCAGCCACCTTACAGGTGGGCCGGCCACCGCCTGGGCAAGGGACAGAGCCCTCTGGTTGGATCTTCCCCCAAACTATGGAGCAGTGGTGGCCGCACGTTCCGGGTCCTCTGTGAGCACAGGCCTGTCAGCGTGATTCTTAGCTGCAGGGACACAGGGAGAGCTGCGGAGGGGCTAGGGGGCTCCTTCACAAGTGGAAGGAGGCGACTACAGCTCTCCTGGGGGCACAAGGCGAGAGGAGGCTGCCCAGTGCTAATGCCCATGGCTCCTGCAGCCACACGTCAACCCTCCCTTGCCAGGCTCTCAGCCAGACAGGACGGTCTCTCCATGCCCAGCATTCTTGACCCCTGCCAGGGATAAACAATCCCTGCCCACCAGACTGGGCTGGCAGAGTGCACAGCGGCGGGCGTCCTCCTGGACTCCAGGGCCTGGGCTCCCCTCCAGGGCATGTCATGGCTGGGCGTCCAGTCCTGGCAGGTGCCTTCCCGCAGTGGATGCTGCAGGGTGCCTCCCAGGCCGCTTCGTGACCCAGACATTCGCCCACAGCTGCCAGGAGCCCCAGCCAAGAGCCCCCTGAGGAGCACCCTTTATGCTCCCTCCCCAAGAAGGTGGTCTGTGTTCCAGCAACAGGCAAACGGCCTCCCCAACGCTCGGGTTACCCCCGAAGGGCCCCTCCCTTCCCAAGCTCCACAGAAGCCTCCATTGCAAACCCTTGCTCCTCACAGGTGTGTCACCCAAGACAGGCCCCGTATACTCTGGAAGGCAAACCCAGGAATCCAGGTTCTCTGCCTACCCCGGCCTCCTGAGCAGGACCCTGGCATCAGGTAGTGTGAGCAGAGAGGGATCAACCCACGTGGGCTCAGGCCTGGACCTCGTTCAGACGGACACACGCATGCACACACATCTGCTCTGCCTCACCTCTGCCCACTGCCTTCGCCCTGCATGGAAACCTGCTCCCTGGCTTCCAGTCCCTTTTCCCCCAGCCCCGGAGAAACGGAATCAGCTGCAGCTGCCTAGCGTGGAGGTGGGTGACTAGGATGGCCGGTGTCTGCCCCCCACACCCCCGCCTCCATGGATGTGTACTTGACTCTGGGACCTGAGGGGCTGGGAGCCCTGACCAGTAGGAGGAGACCCTGCCAGCCACTCTGGAATCCTCAGGTCAGCAGGCCAGTCCCTGGGCTGTGGGGGGTGGGGGGAGGGCAGGGAATGGAGGATCGTGGGACCAACCCCTGGCTATTTGGGGAGGTGGCCGAAATGGGCCCGGCCAGCCAGGGCCTGAGGTCACTAGCTATTTCTGAGGCAGCGCCCCTCCCTGTGTCTCAGGGGATGGCTAGGGGTCCAGTGAGTACCTGGGCCCGGGCCCAGCTGCATTGGCAGCACAGCCCAGGAAGGGAGGATGTGGCCCACACACACCTCCTTCGCTGCCCTGCCTCCCCACTGGACTCTGACACCCCCACCCGTCAGCTCTCGCTTCGAGGTGACAGCGGCCGTCCATCCCTGCCTCAGAGAGGGCACAGCCGGGGCTGGGGCTGGCACTCTGGCCGCTGTGCTCACAGAGCAGCTTATCCTTTCTCTCAAGGCTCCGGGGACTGGTGGGCCCCCCACAGGCCCACCAGGGCACAGGGCGGCAGCTCACCCCAGCACTGATCCTCTTGAGAATATTGAGGAGGTCCTCTCCTCCAACTTCCACTGACATCCTCCCACAGGCCTCCCCCAGCCCGGCGCGGGGCACACTGGAGCCTGGGCAGGCCAGGTCCCTCCTCTGCCCAGCACCACCTTCTCTCCCTCTCAGCCAGCCTGTCCTGCAGGCCACAGCGGGAAGGCTTAACCCACCACTTCCAGCCTGCGGTGGGGCCTCAGACCACAAACCAGGAAGCGGGGGGCGGGAGGGAGGAGCCCCCCTCGTAGAGGTTGCGCAAGCCCCTGCCAAAACATCTGGAGAAGTGGGTTGCTGGCACTGGCCCTGCCTCGCCCCCCTCCTGGGAGCCAGGGGCTGCTCTCTAAGCCTCTCCCCTCGTCCTCAATGGGGATAGAACACCCTCTGGGAATGCGTGGACTCCCGGGATTTCTGCAACGACCAGGCACCATTTGTGAAATAAGAATCAACCCAAAGTGAGGAAGAGGGAGTGGGGAGAGAGGGAGGGAAGGAGAGAGGAAGAGAGGAAGGGAAGGAGGGAGGGAGGAAGGGGGGAGGGAGGAAGGGAGGAGGTCTGGGCACACAAGAAGGATGAAGGGGGAGTCATTGTTTAGACAGAATGGCTGCGGGGATTGAGGAGGAAAAGAAACAGGGGTGGGAGTCACATCAGGCGGCCTGTGAGACACTGCCCACCCCCGGAAGCTGCTCCAGTGCCACAAGCCGCCGGGTGGTTTCCAGCGGACTGGAAGCTGCCGCCCTCCCTCCCCCGGAAGTCCTGGTTGGGGCCCTGGGATGAGAGTAGGAGGCTGAGGGCTGGAGTTCGGCCCTGGGCCGGTCAGAGGAGAAGGAACCGTTGGAGACCATGCTCCTCCCAGCTGGACTTGCCCTGAAATCGGGTTCCATGCTCATCTTAGGGCCCCAGTGACATGATTCACCCAGCACCCCAGCCCCCACCCCATCTGACACTGCCTATGCCAGTTGCTCTCCCAGGCCCCATGGGCACGCCCTCGCAGGGCCAGGTTTGTCCCAGGACAGAGGCTGGTGGCATAGGGGTTGGGACCTTGCCTGCCACCGCAGAGGGGTCCTGAGCACCCAGACAAACCCTAGCATGGCAGCGCGGAGGGGAGGCTCTGCTGGGTGTTAGGTGCTACCAGTGTGCCTTCTCGGGGCAGGGAAATTCCCCAGAACAATCCTCAGCCAAAAGAACGACTACCCACAGCCCTTCCTTCCTCACTGCTGCTCTCCCCAGATTCCCCTTCTCCTCCCGCTTGGGGCACAAATCCAACTTCAGAGATAATAGGCAGCTGGTGCTGGGACTGTGAGGCGGCATCGGAAGTGGAGGGCAGCGGCACTCCCCATGCTGCCCCTAGCAGCTGCCCTAGTCCAGGCCTCAGGCTGCAGAGGAGGCTGGCCATGCTCCAGCAGGCCCCCACAGCATCCTCGCGGTGGGAGGGGTCGGGGCTCCACTCCGGAGACAGAACCCCCGGGCGTGTGCTGACCCTGGCGCGGGCTTCCTGGGAGTCTGGCATCAGGCATTTCCACCCAGATGACTCCCTCCGAAGGCAGGTCTCAAGGACCCGGTCTCCCACGGACTCCCTCCCGTGACCTCCACGTGCACCCCCTCCGTCTGCAGGCCCTTCTCCAAAGCCCTACACCTCCCACAGGGGCCCCTGAGGGTCCGGACAAGGCTCAGGACGGACCAGCCGGCTGGGGGCATCACCACCGGCTGGAGGAGGAGCGGGCTATCCGGATACGGGAGGCGGGGGGGGGCGGACGGAGGCAGGTCATTGGGGCTTTCTCCGCGCTCACTCCGCAGAGCCCAGCCCTCCGGGCCTATGTCCAGGACCGGAGGTGCGGCGCCGGGCCAGGGGATCTCCCGGAGCCCGGTCCCGCCGAACCACCTCGGCGTGGCCCCGCCCGGCCCCTCCCGCGGGGCAGAGTCGGCGCAGCTCCCGAGGCCCCGCCCCTGCCCCAGCCTCCTCTGCGCAGGCGCCGGCCCCGCCCCGCCCGCCTCGTCCTCCTCTGCGCAGGCGCCGGCCCCGCCCCCTCCGCGGCGGAGCTTCCGGCGGCGGCTCCGGGGTGGGCTCCGCGGGGCTGGCCGGTCCGCAGGAGCCCGGGCCCGGCCGCGGGATGCCCGTGCGGAGCGGGGCCCAGGTGAGTGCGCCCAGCTGAGCGCGCTTCTCACTCCCGGCGCGGCCGAGGGGCCGCTTCCGAAGCCGAAAGTCTCCCCGGAGACACAACCCGCGGGAAACGGCGCCCCGACTGGGTCTGCGGCTCCCGGGCGAGCGCCTGCCGGCGGGGCGGGCTCCTGGCCGAGCTACATTTGCCAGGAACAAAAGTCGGGGCCCGGCTAAAGGCGGGGCGCTTGGGCCCAGCTCAGATGGCCCCTCCCCAGAGCTGGCCTGCCTGACCTAGCAGGTGGCCCTAAGGTGACCAGACGGGACGGTCCCGATTTTTAACAATTTGTCCCGCGGCGTTTTAAAAAAGTCCCGATTTTTTTTTTTTTTTTAAGGCGCCACGGGACAAATTGTTAAAAATCGGGACGTCTGGTCACCGTACTCACAGCCAGGGCAGTGCTCCCCCTTTACTTATTAACTCCCCGTTAGCCCAGATTTTTTTGTTTTGTTTTTTATATATTTTATTGATTTTTTTACAGAGAGGAAGGGAGAGGAATAGAGAGCTAGAAACATCAATGAGAGAAACATCGACCAGCTGCCTCCTGCACACCCCCTACTGAGGATGTGCCCACAACCAGTGTACATGCCCTTGACCGGAATCGAACCTGGGACCTCTCAGTCCATAGGCCGTCGCTCTATTCACTGAGCCAAACCGGTTTCGGCTAGCCCAGGTTTTGATGCAGGGCTGGGGGGGTGGTCCCTTGGACACCCGCATCCGGGCCAGGCCAGGCCCCTCAGCCTGGCAAGAAACTCTTAGCCCAGGCTTGGCCCGGCCAGAGATATCCCTAGTGGTCAGCGCCCCCGCCAGCCCGTCACTGAGTGCTTGCTGTATGCCAGCCAAGTGCTCTCCTGGCTTCTCTCATTCTACTCTCAGGGCAGATGTGGTTGGATCCGGTACCGTAGCTGAGGAAACGGGAGGGCATCTTAGGTCATTTTCTGGTGCTTCTCACCCAGGGAACCCTCATTCCTAACCGGGGCCCGGCCATGCGAGTGAGGCACCCAGGTGCACGGTTTGAGACCCCCACACGGATGCAATCGCAGCGTCACCCTCGGGTCCAGCAGCCTGCACCACCATCTCCACGAAGGCCTGAGGCAGTTTCCGATCCGAGGTCTGTGCTGGGGACGCTGAGGCCTCTCTGAGCCTCAGTCCCCGGGCAGCCATAGGAGCCCCCCACCACCCAGGGTGGGCCAGGGCAGGCACCCAGAGTGACCCGAGTGCCGTGGGGCAGGCGGTGGGGGCGGGGGGCCAAACGCAGGGGGAGAGCCGGGGCCTCAGCGTCCCGGAGTCTGAGCCCCTGGTTGGGGTTGGCAGATGGACTGGGCTGCAAAGACGGTCACGTCAGCGTCCATTCTCAGCAGACTGGCGGCCTCCGCTCCACAAGGGGCGTCAGCACTCGTGTTAAAAATAATGGGTCTGTCACATGCTGGGGAGATACGGGCCTGCTGCAGAGCAGCCCTGGGGGCGGGGGGGTTCCCAGGCCCTGCTCCTTCAGCTCCCCCTGCTCCCGGAGACCAGCCGTGCCTAGAGCAGCCAGGGGGTGTGCTCAGCTCTCCTTGGTGGGAGCGGGTCCGGGTGGCAGGAAGGAGGCAGAAAGGGATCCTCCTCACCCCTCAGGAAACCTCACCTTTGCCCTGACTTTCTGGTCATGAGGCAGAGGACAACTGGGGACTCAAGTCGGGGGGGTCATGAGCTTGGAATGGGGCCAAGCAGGTGATCAGCCTGGTGTTTACCCACTGGTGTGTGTGTCAGACCTTCTAGGCCAGTGGTCAGCAAACTCATTAGTCAACAGAGCCAAATATCAACAGTACAATGACTGAAATTCCTTTGGAGAGCCACATTTTTTAAACTTAAACTTCTTCTAATGCCATTTCTTCAAAATAAGACTCGCCCAGGCTGTGGTATTTTGTGGAAGAGCCACACTTAAGGAGCCAAAGAGTTGCATGTGGCTCGCAAGCCAGTTTGCCGACCATGGTTCTAGGCCATTCTGACATGGGGTGTGGCATGGTGGATGTGTCAGCTGGTGGGGGCGGGGGGGTAGTTGGGTGTCATACCCTCAGTCCATTTCCCCACCAAATTCCTGGCTAAGGTCTGAAGGGTTCCAAAAGCTAGCTCAGAATCCGTTTGGGATCCACAGGATAAAAGGATCCCAGCCCTCCGATGCCAGCCGTGGGTGCCCGCCGTCCCCTCCCTGGGCCTGCAGCCCTTTGCCAGATTGTACGTGTCCTGCCTGTGGTCACCCTGACCCCGCCCCTGCTGCCACCAACCCCTCCTCGCAGGCACTCTTTCCGCACGGCCTCCTGGGACCCTCCGGAGCCAGGCCCTGAGCACAGCGGGTCTGGCATTCTGTTTGCACAACATGGTGGCCCTCATCTTGCAGATGAGGAAACTGAGGCCGGCAGGCCGATCGGGCCTGGAGCTGCAGCCTGACCACCAACCGCACCGCCCCCTGCCCCGCTCCTGTTCAGACGCTTCCTTTGGTTCTTTCCTCTAACAGCTTTCCCGCAAACTGGGGCAGAAAAAGCAGCGGCTTTCGGAGGCAGAGCGGCATCAGAGCCCACCAGGCGGGACCCCGACACCCTCCCCCCAGGAGCCCCGCCTGGCTCTGGGTCCCCAGCGCAGTATCTATTTCTCAAGCCCAAGAGGCGCCCCTGCTCGCCTGGGACTAGACTTCTTCGACCAGCCCGCAGTCGCCCTGGCGCGGGCGTTTCTGGGACAGGTAACGTGGATGCAGCAGCGTGGCCTCTGCCGCCGTGGCCATCACCGTGCGAGGTCCGTGGGCACCAGACCGCTCACCACCGGGCTGGCGTCCCTGGCTTGGCCCTGCCTGTCCTCACGCAGTTAGCAGCTCTGCCACACCGGTAGCTTCACCTCCGTCATCTGGGGAGGGGGAGGGTTCGGAGCCAGTGGGAGGAACGCTGAGATGGTGAGGACACCGGCCCCACCTGGTATTGCCCTCAGGGCAGGTTTCTTTCAGGTGCCGCCCCCGTGTCTGTGGGGGCTAACTTTGTCCCCCTGCCCCCTGGCACAGTGCCCCTCTGTAGCTTGTCTGTCGGTGTAGTAGTGAGAGCTTTTAGCCACACGAGAGCAGTGGCCGTGGCCTGCGGACTGGCCAGTGTCAGGACTGCCTTGACACGCCGCCTCTGCTCACCGCCCAGCTCACAGTGCTGGTGCCTGTCGCTCATCCGGGGCCACGCAGGCTCCGGGTCCAGCCTGGGAGGCGGGGATGGGGCAGGACCCGTGTGCCAGCAGCAGCAGCAGCAGCAGAGTTGGGTCCCGCTCTGTCTGGAGCGGCAGGTGGGTGTTGTTCCTGGGTGTTGGTCCTCTTTGAGGTCCCATGAGCCCACCGTTAGGGTACCGTGGCCAGGCGGATCCGTTCCTGTGACGAATAGAAAAGGGCGCTGGGCGCTGAGAGGAGCAGATCCCACGTGAGCTGGCGGAGCGTCACCTCAAGTAGGACTTCGTGGGCGAGGGCCAGGCCTGTCTTTCAGCTGCAGGGCCAGAAGGTCCTTCTGAAAGAGCCCCACGTGGTGAGGGCGTGTGCTCTCACACCCAGTGCATGGGGCAGAGGAGTCCCCGCGGCAGGTCAGGGGCCTCGCCTCAGCGTGTCCGTTTCCTTAGGCCCATCACGCCCGCTCGAGCCCGAGGGCAGAGGGCGGTCTCCAGCAGAGGCGGGCTCACGCTGTCTTGTGGTCGGGGAGGACAGCCTCTTACAGCCCAGGGGTGTCCCTGCAGACCGCGAGGCAGGCTCGGGTCATCCCTCCTCAGGTCACGGCCGGGGGCCATGACACCCAGACCGCGCTCCCGTCGCCCTCTTGTCTGAGAAGGTGTGGCCTCCCCAGGACCCTCCACCAGCAAGGAGATGTGTTTGTAACGGGCACGGGAGGCAGCCAACATCCGCCATCGGGAAATTTTACCAGAACGAAGTTCAGAGCGGAAAATTCAAGTTGGGAAACAGCAGTGAGAAAAGAGCCGGGAGAAGCTGCCCTCGACGGGCGGGCACCCGTTGGCCGCTGGAGGAAACAGGAGAGTGAGGCGCATGGAGGAGCCGCCTTGACCCCCTGGAAGGATGGAGGCGAGGCCTCATCTGAGATGGAATGGGCCTTCCTCTTCGTGCCTGGAGATGGGCTCCCGGGCATCAACCCTTCTTCCCTCCTCTCGGTCTGAGGAAGGCCTCCCCCAGCACTGCCCCAGCGTCCAGCGTCAGCACTCGCCTCCCTGTCCCATGACACGGATCCTGGCCACAGACACGCTGGGCTCCTGGGCTAAAGCAGGGGCCGCTCGGCTGTCCAGCTGATTGCTCTGCCCTAAGGACAGGGCAGGGGCTGGGCACATCCCTGGGGAGGTGGCTGCCCCCAGAGCCCCACTGTGAACCGAGGTCGCGTCAGGCCTGGAGCCCTGGACTCTGGCCACACTGTGCTGTGCAGCCCAGAAGCAGTCCCTCCAGAGGGCAGAAAGGCTCCGGCTAGGGAGCACTGACCCCGCGTGCTCAGCACTCTGCTGGTCTGGCTCCCGTGGGCGGCCCTCCTGGGTGCTCTGCTGGCCTGAGGGCACCCGCTGCCCCCTTCACCTCCCCCTCCCGTGACAATCCCTGGCAACTGCACCTGTCCTCGGCTGGCCCCTCTGGCCCCTCCTGCCCCACCCCTGCCTAGGGTACTGTCCAAGTCAACTGCAGCCAGGCTCATCTTCCTGGCCCACTGCCCACACTGACCCCATTCCTTGTGGAGCTGGCTGCACCCGGGCCAAGGTCCGGCCAGGAGCACGGCGGGCAGCCAGTCCTGCTGCTCAGAAAGGCCTTTGAGCTGGTGGCAGTGCTTTGAGTTTAGTCCACAGGCAGCCATGTGGGACAACAGTGGGGTGTCCTCCATGCTGCTCTGCCCCAGCCTAAGCATATAAGTTCAGGGGGACCCTGGCGGGGAGGAGACGGTGTGATGGAGGGCCTGAGAGGACAAGGAGTGGATGAATTCACTAGCGCTGGTTTGCAGCCCAGCAAAGGCCAGAGCTTGAAATGGCTGCAACCCACTCAGTGAACAAGGTCTGTGGTCTAGAGGGACACTGGGGGGACACTGAGCCAAACCGGCTAGCTCTGCCCTGGCTGGCGTGGTGCGCCCAGAGCAGGGAGGTGCGGTCCAGGCTGTGGACTGTCAGGTGGAGGGAACCAGCCTTCGTGTCCTGAGCTGACACTGGTGCCCACAGGTCTTGGTCCGGCGACTCGACGATGGCACAGAGCTCCGTGGCCGCATTGTTGAGACTGAGGCATATTTGGGGCCAGAGGATGAAGCTGCTCATTCGAGGGGTGGCCGGCAGACCCCCCGCAACCGTGGCATGTTCATGAAGCCGGGGACCCTGTATGTGTACTTCATCTATGGCATGTACTTCTGCATGAATGTCTCCAGCCAAGGTGAGCAGCGCTGGGGGCGGGAGCAGGAGGCCTGGACACAGCCCCCTCGGCTGGCAGGCCCTTGGGAAGACCAGGGTGGGGCAGGTGTTTGAGTGAGCAGGTGCCATTGCTGGGCTAGGTCAGGGTTCAGGAGCTCTGACCGTAGTCACAGGGCGGTCAGAGGGACCGGGGACCCCCATGATATAAGAGGTCATGGGTTGACTGGAACACATAGCACACGGGTTCCATGAGGCACCGCTGGCTCCAGAGCTCAGACCTGGTGTTACCAACAGGCCAGGGTAGACTCAAGGGGCTGGTTGTGGGAAAAGGAGGGTGAAATCCATTTGAGTTGAGTAGGGCTCTGGCAGGAGCCTTGCCAGGCTGCCAGTTATGGGGTCTGAATCGGTTCTCAGCCAGAGATGATTCTGCCACCTGGAGGGACATTAGGCATTGTCTGGAGGCATTTTTGGTCATCATGGCTGGTGGGTTGGTGCTGACCAGCTCACAATGCATAGGAGACCCCCCATCACAAAAGTCATTCGCCCCAATGTCAGTAGCACCATCGGGGAAGATGCTGGACCAGAGCTCCCACAGCCCACTCAGCTTGTGGGTCTGTCGGGGTGGCCTCTCTGCACTTAGTGAGCAGGTGGCCATGCTCTGGGTGGTCTCTGCTCGAAAGAGCCCACAGCACCATCTCATCAGAGCCACTGCTGACAGGAGCAGGGTCTGCCCCGCCCACACTGGCTCCCAGTCCCCGTGTCTGTCTGTCTGCCAAGCCTCCTGCTGGTCCCAAGATGAACGGATGCTGAGGAGGCTGGGGGGTTGGGTTTGGTGTGCCGTCAGTCAGACACACTTGTTGAATGACTCCAGGGGCGTGGGAGCTGTGACTGCCTAGAGGGCAGCTGGGGGCGATCATTGCCAGAGCTGCAAGGGCATGAGGGCTGGGGAACAGACTGGCCCGTGCCTGGCACAGAAGGGTGTTGAGGGAAAGTGAGTGGCTGGACATCAGGATGGTAGGAGCACCCCAGGGCCTGTTCTCACTCTGGAGCTTATTTTGGTCGTCCTCAGATAAGGAGACAGACTGAGGCCAGAGGAGTCTGGGGCTGTGGTCAGCAAGGGAGGGAGGAGCCAGGGCTTCCGAGGGTGGGCAGGGCAGATGTGGGAGGTGGCATTATTACTTTCTGGACACATGACCAACATGCCCCAGGAGCACCTGGTTCAGGAGAGCAGCAAACCACATGGGTACCGAGTCAGGGCAATGGCTGTCCGGGTGCATGGAGGGAGAGGGGCCAAGTGGGTGCAGGCGGAGTAGAGATGAGACTGGAGCCTCGGTGGGGAAAGTTAGAAGGAGAGGGGGCATGGGATAGTGCAGGAGGTGAGAGAGTGAGGGATGTGCTACACCTACAGCAGCTCGGCATGGACACAGAGGGAGCCGAGGCTGGTGGGATGGGCCCAGCAATTAGAGGGACTGGAACTTCAAGTCTTTGCTTACCCTTAGTATATTTTTATTTTTGTTGGTTTTTGTTCATCCTCCCCTGAGGATCAAATTTTCCATTGATTTTTAGCAAGTGGAAGAGAGGACCGAGAAAGGGAAGCATCGATGTGAGAGAGACGTTAATTGGTTGACTCCCGCATGAGCCCCCTCCAGGACCAGGGATCAAGCCTGCAACCAAGGTGCGTGCCCTTGGCTCGAATCGAACCCAGGACCCCTGTCTGCAGGCCAGCGCTCTATCCACTGAGCCAAACTGGCTAGGTCTGCCCTTAGTATATCTTTTTTTTTTTTTTTTTTTTAAATATATTTTTACTAATTTCAGAGAGGAAGGAAAGATAGGAACATCAATAAGAGAGAATCATGGATCGGCTGCCTCCTGCACGCCCCATACTGACCAGGAATCAAACTGTGACCTCCTGGTTCATAAGTCAATGCTCAACCAGAGCCAGCCGGCCAGGCTGCTCTTAGTATATCTTGCGGTTCTTTGAAAACTGACCGGTTAAAAGCATCTGGTCACAAAAACCCCGCCTGCCAGCTGCTGGCTGTGCAGGGAGTGTAGCTGCTGCAACCACTCAGGGTTCTCCCAGGTGCTGTGAGGCCAAGAGTGGGGCCTGGCCTGGCCGCCCCTCAGGCTGAGCCTCTCAGACCCCCAGGAAGTAGGGCAGGCCAGCGTGAGTGAGCAGAGCTGGTGTCTCAGGAGAGTGGCCTTGCTGGGATTGGGGTTCTCTGGCCAGGGTCCAGGTCACCCCAGCCGTGCAGGGCCAAGGGAATTTGGACAAATGTGTCGTCTTGGCCCAGAGGGTCAATTTTCTGAAGTATCCTGGACTGGGGGGTGCTATCAGCAGGCACCTCCTTCTGCCCTGTTTGTCTCCCCACCGAGTCATGGGGTGAGGCCCACCCGGCATCCTATGCACACTGCTAGCTGCTCTGAGCCAACCTTCTGGCTGCCCAATGGACACAGTGGGTACAGGCAGATGGGGGAACCCTGGGCCTGGCTAGAGATGACCGTGCTCAGGGAGGACCGACCATTGGGGTTTCCTTTGCCAACATCAAAGCTGCTGCTGTCACCAAACCAGAGGATGCCTTTTCCCTGGTTCTCCGGAGCTGGTGGCCGGGCCCTCTGGCTTCCTGGAGGCCCGCCGGGGCCCTGCGGATGCAGGTGTGTGGGAAGTGGGTGTGGACTGTGAATGGGTACGGGGAGCTCAGGAAGACAGCTGCCTCATCCCTGCAGCACTGGCTGTGCCCTGGGTAGGGAGGGCCAATCACCGTCTGTCTGTCTGTCCCATAGGGGATGGAGCATGTGTCTTGCTGCGAGCACTGGAGCCCCTGGGGGGCCTGGAGACCATGCGGCAGCTTCGCACTTCCTCCCGGAAAGGCAGTACCGGCCGAGCCCTCAAAGACCGTGAGCTCTGCAGTGGCCCCTCCAAGCTCTGTCAGGCCCTGGCCATCGACAAGAGCTTCGACCAACGAGACCTGACCACGGACGAGGCTGTGTGGCTAGAGCCCAGCCCCCCGGGGCCGCGGGAGCCAGCTGTGGTGGCAGCAGCCCGAGTGGGCATCGGCAACGCGGGAGAGTGGACCCACAAGCCCCTGCGCTTCTATATCCAGGGCAGCCCCTGGGTCAGCGTGGTGGACAGAGGAGCTGAGCGGAACACACAGGTCTAAGCAAGGGCCTGCTGAGGACAGGCTTTTTAATTGTTTACACACAAATAAATGCTTTCTTTCTAGAAAACGTGTCACTGTGTGTCAGCCAGAGCCCCTCAGTGATCAGTTCCTCCTCCAGGACGTGGAGGTCAGGGGCTGCGTGTGCAGCAGGGCACCTAGAGCCAGGCCCAGCGTGGGCACTGCCTTCCTCAGGCCGATGAGGGCCCACTGCACCCCATCTTGTGGAGGAGGACTGGGAACACCAGTGCAGAGCCACCCCCACGGGGAGCCAGGTAAGCATCCTGGACGAGCCCAGGCCCTCTGCCTCAGGTGGCAAAGGGGAGCAGATGGCTCCTGGCAGCTGTGGTGAGGGCCAGGGTGGAGATGACCATGGAAGGCCCACAAGCTGGAAGGAATGGGGCAGTGCTGGGCCGCCAGACCAGGTCCTGGGCCCTCAGTCTTGGAAGGACAGCAGTGGAAGGGGCCGGGGAACACAGGCCCAAATCTGTGTGGGAAGCACGCAGCCTCACTCAGACCGTGAGTCCTGGCCGGCTCCCCCAGCTCAGAGCCTCACCTTCTCGGCTCAGACACCGGATCCGTTTTGAGGACTAGCCCGGTGAGAATGCAGAGGGTAGCAGCCCCATGAGGCAGCTGGCCCAGGCTGACGTCAGGAGGGAGCCCTGGGGTGGAGGCGCCGGTGCCCCATGCCCTGCAGCAGCCTGTCCGGCCTCGGCCCAGGCTCACGTCAGCAGAGCCTGGAAGACGGCGATGACCGGGTCCTCGTGGGTGGTCACCACCAGCACGCTGCGGAACTTGTCGAAGAGCATGAGCAGCTGTGAGCGCCTTGTGTTCTCGTTGTACATGATCTCCTCCAGGTGGTGGCGGCCACGGAAGTACTGCAGCAGCCTGGAGGGGAGGGTGGCACAAGCCCAGGCTGGCCTCTGTCCCAACTGCCACTGAGGGCCCACAGGCCAAAACAGAGCTGGGGAGGGCGTCTCAGAGGCCCCGGAGGCAGCTGCCCATGCCCACCCCAACCCCCCAACAGGAGCAGCCAAGTGTCCTGGGCTGTTGCCCACCATAGTTCTCTGAAGTGGGTCTGTGAGAACACATTACTGTTCAAACCCAGAGCCCACTGAGCCGGGGCCACGCCCGCCCTCGGCATTCTGACATGGGTGGGCAGTGCAGGGGGACAGAGCTGTGGAGGCTTATCTTTTTCATTCTACTTGGCAGCGAGTCCCATGTGGCTCTGGATCCAAATGGGCTCACTGCTCTAGGGGGGTCTCAGCCTGGGACTGAACAGAGGCTGGACCAGCTGCTTGAAAGAGCTGCCTGGCGTGTTGTTCTTAGCTGGGGGCTCAGCCCCTGACAGTCTGACCTCCCCCAGAAAACCATGCATCTAGGGTGCCCCAAATTGGGTAGGTGTGACCAAGTCTGTGTCACCTATAATGTGGGGATCTGGATCCTCCTCCCCCGGCTAAGTCCTGGGAAAAATCACTGCCATCCCTCCCACCCAATATGCATGAGGATGAGAACTTGCTGCTGCTTCCTAGGAAATGACTAACACCCAGGAAGTCCTGGAGAGACTCCTGAACACAGAGGTACAGACCGTTGTCTCAGCAACAGACTGAACTCACGCCTGGCTTGCACAGGTAGCAGGCAGGGACACCCAAGTGTATGAGACACCCCCTCACCCAGCCAGTGCTGTTTGTCCTCAACGGATTTAAGTTGTGGGTTGCTGGGTACAGCCCCCTCCACTTCCTGTCCTGACCCTCCCCAGACTGGGACCTGGCCCCCGTCCCCGCTCCCACCTGGCAAACATGCGGAGGTCCTCGGGGTTCTGGGCGGCGGGCACACTGAGGATGGCTGCCCGCTCGTGCTCCGACAGGCTGGCCAGCAGGTTCTCGGTCATCCTCTTGTTCAGCGGGGAGTCTCCACTGGGGAGCAGCTCTGCGCTGGAGTTGTCCATGCTGGGGCTGGTGAGCGTCATGTCGTCACTGCTGGCTGTGGGTGGGCACGGGTCAGAGAGCCGTCCGCCCCCAAGCACAACCCTCCCACCCGACATGCATGAGGGGCTGGACAGGTCCTCGCCCTGAATCTGAAGCCGGAGGCCAAGCCTCAGCCTGGGGAGGCACCGCCCGCACAGCCTTCCAGCCCCTCTTCCCCACGCCCAGGGACTTGGGGCGTGGCAGCGGCTGCTGCCTTTGGGGGGACGCCATGGCCACACGGCTCTTAAGAAGGGACAGGGCAGTCACTGTCTCCTCACAGGCCCTGGGGCAGAGGTTCCCATTGTCCCCCCAGTGATGGAGACAGGGCAGGCCAGGGCAGGCTACTCCTCAGTATCCCGAAGATCCAGCCTCCGCAGAGCCCCGGGGAGCGGGAGCGGGGACGGACCTCTGTCCTTTAGGAAGGCTGCTCAGCCGCCCGCGGGAGAGGCAGTGTGTGCACGGGGCCCATTCTGAGCAGCGCCCTTGTTGGGTCTCTTGGCCACCACTCCCAAGAGGTCCCCAGGGGCCTGACCCTCCCCCACACCACCCCATATTGATGCCCTGGAAAGGGATTCCTACTTGGGGAGCCAAAGCTGAGGGCATTGGGTGTGCTGAGGCTGCGGCCGCTGACCCTAGTAGTGAAGGGGACCTCATCCTCGCGCAGGCGGGGCTCGTCCTGGCTGGGGGAGGCCATCAGGCAGACGTAGGTGTGCAGCTGGACCAGGAGCCTGTGCTGCAGCATCCACACCACCATCTGGATGAGCTGGGTCTGCGGGACAGCGGTGTGAGTGAGGCCTGGGCACTGGGGGAGGCTGACCCACCACCACCCTGCTCCCTCCTGAGCATGGCCTAAGACACCACCCCACAGTCACCCCGGGTCCCACAGGGGGTGCATGAGCTCCAGGGCCCTCAGGAAGGAGCTCTGAGCCACAGGGAAGGCAGCGAGGCTAGGAGAGCAGCGAGACCATGTTTGCACTTGCTCCCACCACCCCCCTGGGCTGCCCTAGTGTCAGGCCTTCTTGCCCAGAGCTGAGGAGCAGGACCTGCCACATGGAGGCCCATGTGCCCTCCCAGCTCAGCCACCCCTCTGATACCCTGTCTCCCCCAGCCACTGGGCCCTGCCACGCAAGCCCCACCACACAGAGCTGGGCCTGTGGGACCCTTCCCTGTGACGTTGCAGAGAGAAGCTGTGAGTAGCTGCCCTGAGAGCAGCAAGTCCTCTCCTCAGCTCAACACAAAAGCCTTCCAGGACAGGGCCCAATGCTGAGCTGTGCGGTGCCCAGGGCATGGCACCACCTCTCTCCCGTGGCACCTAAAGTCGGAGCAGTGAGGAGCCCTGTGTGGGCAGAGATCCAGCACAAGTGAGCAAGAAAATGCTCGCAGGTGGTGTCCGTGTTCTCAGACACCCACATCCGCTTGCTCATCTTTGGAGGTCCCTGACTGACCAGGCATGGAAATAGGGGTGTTCCATGGGCATGTCTGACCTGGTAAAACCAAATAAAACTGAAAAGCGTTGTAAACTAAATCTGAAATTAAATTAGAAATAAAAGAGGCTCCAAAGCACCGAAGAGCATATTCCAGGCCTAAAGCTGGAGGGTGAGAGGCAGGCAGCCTTACCCCAGGGCTGCGCTACCGAATCCAGCTCTCTCAGCCCCATGACCAGGCATGAGGCTGCCCTGCAGGCCTGGCCTGAAAAACCCACACACTTTCCGGACCATCAGGAAGTCTCTGCCGGAGAGGGGGAGGGTGCAGATGCAAGATGCGTCTTCCTTTCAGCTGCCGCGACCTGGCACCGCTCCTGGAGTCCCGAGGCTCCATGAAAGACGGCATTGAGAGCTCTGTCTCACTCGCATCTCAATGAACTGTGGAACCAGGATCGCCTTCTCATTCACAATCTCACAAAGGGCTTGCTTCTAAAAATTTGTCTAACAGATCTGCTGCTTATTAAAGCAAATACTTAACTTTTGAGAGCACCTGGCCCCATCTCTGACACCTGCCCCAGTGGCCCTGCCCTGGGTCCCTGCCCAGAGCCCCAGGTGTCCAGTGAAGGAAGATCCAGGCCACACTCAACCCTGCCAGACAGAGATGGAGCTCACCCGTTCACTCCCATGCCTCACACCTCCTAGGACCCCCGCCAACCCCTCCCCCTGATCCAGATCACCAGGCGGGTTCTACCCTAGGCCTACCTCTCCAGGTCGTCATGGATGAGATCCTGGGCACCCAGTGACCACCTGGACCACGACGGAAGGGAAAGGAGGGCGGGCCCAGGCTCAGTGACCACAGAACCACCTCACATCTTCCATCTGTGGGACCCAGGCCCAGAAAGGGGCACCAGGTGGCTCTGCCCCCCAGGAAAGATTAGCACTGTCCTGCCTGGGCTCTTCCTGGGGTTTTAACACTAACAACACCCACTGCAGCCAGGGTGGGCTCCATGGGCACCGGGAAGGGGAGAGGGCTGGGTCACTGTGAAGCAGCTGCAGTGGCCTGGCTGGGGAGCGGCTTTTTGTTACCCTGGTGGGGCATGCACCACCTACACCACAAGGCCCCTCCCACCCCCGAACCAGAGCGCAGGGTGCAGCACAGCGGGCCCTGAGACCAGGAGCCAATCTGGGTAGGTGGTTCCTGGGCTCCCAGCTGCTGTAACTCACCTCTTGCACAGGGGGGGCGAGGGGGTTCCTAAATTCTGACAAGGAGACGGGCAAGGAGAACTTAGCGAGGACAGATGGCAGGTCATGAGACGGGAACTGGTGGGAGAACTGCTCGGCCAGTGGGGAGTACCTGGAGACAGGGAGACAAGCATGTCCATGAGCTCGGCGACCTCCCCATCATATCCACAGCACTTAGGCCCTAGCACTGAGCCTGAGGTAGGCAGCAGGACACGCAGCGCAGTGGGGAGGTGAGATTGGCTGCAATGCGATAGTGGGTAAGTCAGGATGGGTACAATGAGGACAGGTCCCAGCTGCTTTCCTTCAAGGGGTGGCAGAAGCCATGGGCACCGCCACCCCACAACCCCTCTAAACTCTGGAATAAAGGCCAAGACTCCTGACCACCCACCAGGCACCCATACAGAGCTCACTGGCTGCAGACATGGCAGGTGCTGGAGGCGCACAGGCCCAGGTGGTGCTGGACCAGGCCAGAATTAGAAGCTGGGCACAGCAGAGGCCAGGCGTCTGGTCCCAGTGAAGCCCTGGCGAACCTGGAGAGCACCCCGGGAAGGCCCTGCCTTTCCCCTGGGAGCCCTGGGCTCTGGCAGCCGGAGGTACTCACAGACACACGCTGGCGTTGGGGGAGAGCATGTAGACGTTGTTCTCGCACAGCGGGTAGATGATGATGGCCTTGCCCCAGTACACCAGGTGGGCCGCGAGCTGGAAGACCTGCAGGCGGGGGTGGCAGCACTGTGCCTGGAGGCTGACCCACTGGGGCTTCTCTCTGATACCCAACCTCCCCCAGGGGGTGGGCACAGCCCGCACACACAGCGTTCTCTGTGTTCAGAGCCACATGGCTTTGATCATCAGTCCCCGTGTGGTTCGGACTGTCACTTCCTTTTAGGCCCGGTACTGTCCGGGCTGGCACTGAGGGAAGGTCCTACGTGCACAGGGACGTGTGGCACACCCAGGATCATGGGGTAAGCTCAGCGGAGCCAGGGGCTCGGCTGGACATCCTGGCAGAAGCGGGTCCCCACCCCCACAGGACTCCAGCACGGAGATGGATTTCCACGGACAATGGGTGTGGGGTCACCAGACATGCCTCCTCCCCATACACTCCGCCCCGTGTGTCTCAGCATCCTGGAGAACACCCCCCTGCTGCTCTCCTGGCCTCTTGGACATCAGGATGGACAGACAGACCGAGACGCCGGACATTCCGCCAGCCTCCCACAGGAGGCCAGGTCTGAGGGCATGGCACTGCCTCACTTCGTGGAAAGACAGACACTGGGCACATCTGATTGTACCTCCCCCTAGGTGAGCGCTGTCCCAGGCAGGCCTGCTGCCCCTCTTTACCATCACTGCGTGCCTCCACGGGGTGAGTCACCCCCCCTGCATGCAATGCCTGCGACACTGCCAAGGACACCTCGATCTACCTCATTCTGGCACATGGGACCTCCAGGGGCGTACCAACTTGAACACAACAGATATTTCCGTTCCATCACTGACCCTTCTCTCATCCCAAGCCCCACTGACATTTACTCTAAAGCAAGGACATGCCCATTCTCCTCCTCTCAGCCCCCACCCCACCCAGTGGCTCCACCTCCCGCTCTCCCCACAGTCAGAGCGCCGGTCTGGAGTCCAGGAGCCTACCACCGGTAGCACATGCCTGGAGCCGAGGTGCCGGCAGGCAGCCCCTCCAGGCTCTCGGGAAGAACCTGCTTTTGCCTCTGCTCGCTGCAGCACTCCTTGGCATGTGGCCTCGGCATGGTCACACCCCCACCTCCTCTTCTAGAGTCAAATTTCCCTCTGCCTCCCTCTTACAAGGGCCCTTGTGATGACACTGGGCCCACCGGATAATATAGGACCATCGCCCACCTCAAGGTCCTTAATCACACCTGCCAAGTCCCCCACAGGTCTGGAGGTCTATGGGCACTGTTCAGGCAATCACAAGTAGGTACAGTGTGACCCAAATTTTGTTATTCAAAGATAATGCGTGGACCTAGGAGAAAAACCCGGGGGAATCTACAGCAGTTATTTCTGTGATATGGGGTTGTGTGGACTTCCTACCTGAACTTTTGTAAGAAAGAACATATTAATTCCATCATAACTAGAGCAATCATGTGACTGTGACAGTCACCTGACGCAGACACAGCTCTCCACTGGGCCACCTGCTGTAGGAAGCTGGACTCCCAGAGGTGGTGAGTCCACCTCCAGGCTGGCCTCAGGGAGCTTCCGTACAACCACACAGCAAGGAAGCGAGTTTCTCCCCATGAAGGGAAGCAAAGGAGATGTCTCTGTCCAAAGAGACTGAGAGCAAGGGGGGAGGCGTGGTGAACAGACAGACTTCATGTTGGCAGTCCCAGGGGACAGAAGGCCAGCTTCTTTCAAGCTGGGAATGGGAGCTGCAAAGATGCAGATACCTGCCACTGGCCAGCACTGGTCAGCACACAGCTCTGCAGCACACACAGAACAGTGAGCCATTTAAGGCTCTGTGTTTTCTGTCTGCTATGAAGGCAAGCAGGACGTGGTCCTCGATAGAGCCCCTATGAAGCACCAAGGCAGGAGCCAATAAGCATTCTCACGGGCCGACAGCCATGAGGTGCAGAGGATGGAAGATCTTGTTCTGGATGGCAGATTCCAAAATGATGCTTTGGGGGAAAACAGCCCGAGAGTCCTTGTTGGACAAGCTTCCCTCAGAGACCCAGGTGGGCCAGCCTCCCTCTCCCTCTCTCTCCTTCTCCCTCTCCCTCTCTCCCTCTCTCTCTCTCCTGTGCTCCTCCTCAGACTAGCTTGAGAGAACTGCCGCCCAGTGGCCGTCGCAGGAACTACATGTCCCTGGGACAGGCTCTGCTGCCCTCTGGTGGCCACATGGTGCTCACCGTCACGGGAACCAGAGAAGCCCCTGCCCTTGGCCTGCAGTTTCTTCCTGTGCTTTTCCTGGGAAGCCCCCTGACCCCTGCCCAGGCTCCAACCAGATCCACAGACAGGGCGAGGGGGCCTCAATCCAATCAGAAAGGACATCCCACAAGCGCATGCGTCCGGACTGCAGGGGAGTGGTCAAGGCCATGAGGGTAGGTCCTGGCTCTTCATGTGGGCGGGCAGGCCCATGTTGTGTCCTGTGCTCACTTCCCTTACTTTGAGGGTGCGGTACTGCTTCCTCCTGTGGCCACATGCTGTGTGCCTCTGCTCCAGCCCTACTAGCCACCCTGACCTGGCATCTTCCCAACCGCTGGGCCCCGCTCCTCTCGGCTGCAGCCTCACCACCCTCAAAGGAAGAGGAAGTTAGTCCCGAATCCAGACCTGACTCAGATTTCAGAACCTCCAACCATCCCCGGAGCTCCCTGTCACGGGTTCTGATCCGGATGGAGGCAGCCTGCTTTCCTGACACCCCAGCATCTCCCACCTTCCAACAAGGGTCCTCTGTTCTGCTGCACCCAGGTGTCCCCCAGGGCCCTCAGGAGTACCTGCAGCAAGGCCAGGTCTGCGTCCTGGGCCAGCTGCTGCAGGTTCTTCACGGCAGACGTGGTCTTGATCGCACGCACCAGGGCCGGGGAGCAGTCGAGTGGGAGTTCGCCCAGCAGGGACTTCTCGTCACTGAGCAGCAGCAGCGCATGGTACGGGCTGTGGGGCAGAGTCCGGCCAGAGGGCATGTGAGACGCAGGCCCCCGGCCCCAGGCGTGCACTGGAACACAAGGTGCAGCTGGGGCCCAGGCACTGAACCTCAGAAGGAGAGGCCACAGGAGGGATTAGAGACTAAACAGCTGCAAGGATTCCTGCCACTCACAGAAAGAAAGAAAAAATTACAACAAAACTGCAGAAGGTCTGCCAAGCAAGGGTGGCTCAGTTGATTGCCGCTCCATGCACCAAGAGATCCCCAGTTTTATTCCCAATTAGGACACAGGCCCCTGTTGCAGGCTCAATCTCCAGTAGGGGGCGTGCAGGAGGCACTAGATAGATGTTTCTCTTTTTTTTAAAAAAAAATATTTTATTGATTTTTTACAGAGAGGAAGTGAGAGGGATAGAGAGTTAGAAACATCGATGAGAGAGAATCATAGATCAGCTGCCTCTTGCACACCCCCTACTGGGGATGTGCCCGCAACCAAGGTACATGCCCTTGGCTGGAATCGAACCCGGGACCTTTCAGTCCACAGGCCGACGCTCCATTCATTGAGCCAAATCGGTTTCAGCTAGATGTTTCTCTTATAATGTTTCTCTTCCTCTCCCTTCCTCTCTCTATAAAATCAATAAAAACATTTTTTTTTTAACTGAGGAAGGTCTGACAACCAGATTCCATCTCCCACTTCTGGGGTTGCCCTACAAACATTTGTGATTGAAAAAATAAAAGAATCTTTCCTAAAGAAAAGAGTCCCAAATATGGGAAAAGTAAAATCACTGCTGATACTATGAATAGAACTACATAAAAACATGCTTTGCAGGAAACCAGGAGGAAAGATATTGACCTGAAGCACAGACTGGGGGAGGGAGGGAGAAAGAGGCAGTGCTTGGCTTTCTTCCACCTTCACATTTAGGTAATGTGCCAGATTTTTTTTTAGTTAAAAAACATGTATTTAAGGAAACTGAGGACTTGGTTGGGGGCTGAGGCAGAAGGAGATTGGGCTCAGCTCTTTCCTTGCAGGGAATCTATTAAATTAAGAAACAGGAGATCCCGCAAATTCAAATTCAAATGTAAGAGGAGCCATGACGACAATATCGCTCCAATGGTACGTCTTTCCCCCAGGATGCTTGACTTCTCAGTACCCAGGACGCAGGTGAGGACGTCAGCACGGAGCCCACCCACCCAGGCAGTGCCCAGACGGCCCAGGAAAAACCTGGAGCTGATCATTTCCATACAAAACCAGACACAAAGACAGGTGTTTTTACTTCCATAAACAGGGGAGCCTTACCTGCCAATCTCTGTGGCAGGAAGAACAGAACGCTTGGAATTAAGTAATTGGTGAAACCTCCGGCAGAGAGAAGGGGCTCTGAGGGAGTGCACGGGGCTGGCACTCACCGAATGGCCTTCAGGCTCCGCTCGATGGCTTCCGGGGGGATGAGGCTGGCAGCGGCGTAGTGGATCTTGTGGGGCAGGCAGAAGCTCACCTCCAGCCAGCTGTTGATGTGCAGCCGCACCACGCCAGACGTACACAAGCTGCAGACAGGAGGCTCCATTTCTGCCGGTGCCATGGCCCATTCACACAGCAACTTCTACCCAGACACACACACCACACAAAACCCCGCCCGAGGCACTTCCCGGGACACTGCTCCTGTTGCTCGGAGGAAACTACCAGTGGAGACCCCCAGGGCAAGAAAGCATCTTTCCAGACCTCGGCATGTGGCAGAGAGGAGGATGCTGTGTTGCTGGCTAGCCCCGGACGCTGTGGTCCAATAGTGCGAGGGCACAGGGAAGCCTGTGTTCTCTCTCAGAGGCTCAATGCCACTGAGGCAGGGTGTTCTCTGGCCTCTTCCCGCACCCCCGATGAGAGCCCCATCCCCGCCACAGGTGGCAGGCAGGCAGGCGAGGCCTGTCTCCCCAAAGGAGCCGTGGGCAGCAGAGGATGGGTGGAGGTGCCAAGTCCCACAGGACATCCTGTCGGGGAGGAGCACATAGTGCCCACCTCCCTGCAGATGCCAGAGCGCCCAGGTGCACTCAGCAACTGTCGAAACCAGCCTCAGTGATGGCAATTTGGTTCTTTCAGGCCCAAACCTAGCTCAGACCAAACACAGCAGCTCTGTCTAACTCCTCGCTTCTCTCGCAGCCTGCCTCAAGCCATCAGCAAACCTGTCTGCACCACCTGCAGGGACCTATTATACAAAGTCCAGTCCTTCTCAGCACTGGCCCCCTGTATCTGCCCTCCCCCACAAACCCCCTCTGTACGCCCTCCCCCAAAGGCCCCCTGGCTTCCACCTCGGCAGTTCCAGCCAAGACCCCCAATTGCCAGGAGCCTTGAGTGATGTGCCCACGTTCTCTGAGCTTGTCTCCTACCCGAGGTAGGCCCAGCTACACCAGCCACTCTGCTGTTTTGGGGCCCTTGTACCTGCCCTGGACTGTAAGTCTCCCTCCAGGTGCCAGGAGCTCACTGCCCACACCCACCGGCTGTTCTTACAGTCTCTTCCCTGAAGCCTCAGGCAGCAGACCAGCACCCCAAGCTTCTCCCCACAGGTCAGCCGGAGGGCTGGCTGCATCTGTGGTCAGCAGTTTCAAATGCAAAAATAAGTCTGTATTCTCTCAAGCAGGGAATGGGTAATGGGCAGAGAACACGGTGGGAAGAATACAGAGCACATTTATCATCCTCAACTACTCCTAGGATTTCTGCCAACACCAACCATTTGCTCACTGCAAACTGCCCCACAGCTCCCAAACGCTCTCTGCCTGCCCTGCCTCGGGGGCACTGGGAACACCCATGCCGCTCTCCCAGGATCTCAATGCCACCAAGCAGCACCCCTGGCTGCAGAAGCTGGGGGAAGGGTGTGTGCAGGCTGCGGCTGAGTCTGGAGGACCACGGTTTGGTTGCTGCTGGGGTGCCAGCCCCACGGGGTGAGACCTATGGACAGATCTGATGTCACGATTTGGGGAAGAGACGCAGACTTTCCCCAAGGCCCCAGAGGAGATCCCACCTTGGCTTCTTCTAGAACTGAGTGCTAAGCACACATCTCAGCAGACGAAGGCTCCCGCAGTCGTGCCCTCCTTTGGCGAAGGACTGGCTGGCTGGGCGTCACACCCTGACACAGCCAGCCTCTTAAGGAAGCTAAGGTCACACCATGAGAGAGTTGCCCGGGGGACCCAGGTTAGCTGCTCCACTTGATTAAGTGAGCAATGTTTATGCTCTCAGCATCCACATACAGAACAGAGCAACGAGGTAAACCAGGGGCTGCCAGGAGAATGAATGGCCAGGCTCCTCCTGTCTCAGACTGGTTGGCTGAAAATAAAGATCTTTCTATTTTTGAGTTGTCCTCTTCAGCAAATGGCTCAGAGGAGCTGGTCAAACACCACAGAATTAGAACTGAACAGATTCCTATCATTTTGAAGGTAGCTGGTTGGTTTTTGTCCACCCAGGTGCCCAGTGATGCCACATGCAAACTGTCAATGACCTGACATGTGCTGAGGCTCCAAGCATTGGTTCAGGCTCCTGGGTAAAACTTATAGCCTTACATTTGGGGGCCTCTGACTCAGTGGCGTCGGGAAGGCAAACTGTGTGGAACATAAGAAGCTGAGGAGATCCTGTAACAGAGAGGAATAGACAGAAGCGCTCCAGCCATGAAACAGAAGAGACACAATTCAGAGATGGAAGATGCTGATGACACCTCGCCATACCAGCAGGCAGCAGCCGCGGGTTGCTGAAGGATGCCCAGGACCAAACCAGAGACGGGCGAACCTGCACCACCACCATTTGTCCATCAACCAGATCTGAAATATCATGGCTGACATGTACACATAGGAACTATTTGACATTGAAATTGGGACTCAAAAGAACTGTTGGCCCAGAAAGAAACTCACTACAGACTGATTCATTTGCCTCTCAGCATAACCATTATGGCTTGTCGCAGTTTAGGTTCTTAAAGGGTATTTCTTGGATCACATGATCTCACACATCTAGAGAAAACAATGAACAACATAAACTGATAAACAAAAACAGACCCAGAGAAAGAGAAGCAGCAATCAGACTCTCAAACCTCAGAGGGAAGGTAGGGGAGGGTGGGGGTAAGGGGAAGAGATCAACCAAAGGACTTGTGTGCATGCATATGGGCCTAGCCAGTGGCCATGGACAACAGGGGGGTGGGGGTATATGTGGGGAGGGGTTTGGGATGGGAATGGGGGGATGAGGACAATTATGTGATACCATAATCAATAAATTAAAAAAAAAAAAAAAAAAAGAGCTGAGGAGAGCTGTAGGAAAGGGAACAAGCAGAGGAGGATGCGGGGTGTGCAGGAGGGACAGGTGTTTGGGGTTTGAACAAACCTCATGGAGAGACAACAGCAAGTGCCTGGTTTGGGTGCAGGGGAACGAATTAGGCCCACAGAGCAACTCCACACGTCAGCCAGCCCAGGCCATAGCGTCTGGTATGCAGTGGCATGAGGCCCTTTTTTGGGGGGAGGGAGGAAACACCCACATTGGTTTCCTGGTTTCCATGAGGATGTTTTTACACTTTTCCAAGCATCTGCTCACCTGCCAGCAACCTCCTCTCCTGGAGCACTGTGCACCGATGGTGGTGCCTCTCTCCAGACAGTGTGCAGACCCTGAATGCCACCCCTTAGAGGGCCCGCTGCAGACCCCAGAATTCCTGGAAGCCCGGAACTAGTCAGCAAGAGAGAGACTGGCCCTGTAAGCCTCCACATCCGGAGGGGAGCCGGGATTGCCCTGAAATCTGTCAGGAGGAGGAAGAAAAAGGCCTGTGTCTGTTTGTAAAGCACAGTTTTGTTTTGTTTGTAAAATACAGTTTTTTTTTAAATGTATATTTTATTGATTTTATACAGAGAGGAAGGGAGAGAGATAGAGAGCTAGAAACATTGATGAGAGAGAGTTATCGATCAGCTGCCTCTTGTACACCCCCCACTGGGGATATGCCCGCAACCAAGGTACATGCCCTTGACCAGAATCGAACCCGGGACCTTTCAGTCCCCAAGCCAACGCTCTATCCATTGAGCCAAACCGGTCCCGGCTGTTTGTAAAATACAGTTTTAAGACATGACTAGCAGAGTAGGGTTTGGGGCCCTAAAAGTTCCTACTAAGCTTGCCCTTCTCTTTGTAGGGCAGCTAATAGTTTGGTCTGGAATTACTGCAGAAAAAAACACTGCCCCCGTGCGAGGCTTATCCAGCCCCTCACACAGCTCTGGGCCAGAGGGAGAGCCAAGCCCTATCTGCGACAAGAGATACACGCACGCTCCCCCAGAGCCCAGCCCTGGAGCGATGACTGTGCATGAGGCTACACAGCAGCCCAAAACATGCTTATCGTTCACCCCCAGGCAGAAATGTACACAAGCTTATCCCATCACCCTCAGATCTCAGCATCTGAGAAAGCCTTTCAGTCCCTACCCTCCTGCTAACTACTGACTCATGCTTTAGTCACCCTTCTTCCTGCCCCCGGCCAGAACCCTGCAAAGCTCGGCCTGACCTTCTATCCCTTTGTCTCACGCAGCCGGGCTGCCCAGTGCGTGCAGTAGGACCCTGTGCCTGATCCAAGAGGTCTGGGTGGGCTCCAAAAGGCTCACCTATGAGCCTTGAAATGTCAAACCAAAGTTTCTATGCAGGTACACTTCATGGAAGTAGGAACTAAGACTCCCAGGATATTCATGGAGGTGTCTGTGGGCCCATATCTGCCCTGGTCAGGCAGCCTCGCAGACCCCACTACCGGCCCGTTAACAATGGAGAACCAGTCAGGCAAGCACTTCAAGTGCCACGGAATCCACAGAGGCGTGACTCCTATTTACTCCTTTCACCTGCTAGTGGGTGAGCTGTGCTTCTCTGCACACAAGCACAAGGGCGCGTCAGGAAGCGAAGGGATGTCCCTGACCTCGTGGGAGACACAGCCTGACGGTCACACAAAGGAAGGGCATGCTGTCACTGAGGTCACCAGGTCCCACAGGGAGACACAGGCACTAGAACAGCCGGAGGCCTCTGGAGGGATTCACACTGCCAGCCTACATTCGCAGATATTTAGGTCCTTGGGCAAGGGGCCACCAGGCCGCTCAGCCATATCATAACCCTGAATTTTATTATTATTTTAAAATATATTTTTGGTGATTTCAGAGAGGAAGAGAGAGGGAGAGAGAGATAGAAACATCAATAATGAGAGAGAATCACTGATCAGCTGCCTTCTGCACAACTTTACTGGGCATCAAGCTTGCGACCCAAGCATGTGCCCTGACCAGAAATCGAACCATGACCTCCTGGTTCATAGGTTGATGTTCAACCACTGAGCTGCTCTACCCACTGAGCAGCTCTGGCTGGGTCCCTGGATTTTAATTGAAACACCAAACTCAGAACAATTCCTTTGAGAAGTCCCATCCCAATCTCCAACACAGCTCAGTCTCACAGCTTCCTGTCTCTCAGTTCTGCTCTGAGAAACCCTTCCCCAGGGATCTGTCAGGAAGTCGCTGTCTGCTTGTTATGCTGTCTGATCAGTAACAGAAACTCAGCCTCCCTTTCTTAGCTCCCAGGTGCAATCAATTCTGCAGGAGTGGGCAGGCCAGGCCAGACTCTCAGGGCCAACATGGACCTGGAAGGCCACAGGCCAGGGAGGCCCCTGGGGGCCATTGCCGTTGCCAGGTTGGGATAGTTACAGGACGGACACAACTGCCCTCGGCTCTCCTGGAAGCGGAGCTGGGACCAGAACTGGTCAGAGTAGAATCTAGACACAGGGTGGGCTGTGGGGTTCGCCTGCAGGAAATTCGATCCTGGGCACTAACAGCAGATGCCTGGGTTAAAGGAGGGGAGCTAAGTGCTGGACAGTGGATTCTGGGAGCTGTTTTTGCTAAAAACCAATTCCTGTCCTCCCCTTTCAAACTGATGCCCACTAGGGGGCACCGGCTGCCTCAGGCTCTGAGCTGCAGCAGGCCCTGACACAACCCAGGATCGCATCCCTCCAGCTTCCCACTGCAGCTCAAACATAGGAAAGCAGATCCCTTCTTTCTTTGGGAAGATAAAGTCTTCTCCTAGTTTGCTTTTCATTTTAATTCTAGGCTAGCCTGAATTCTGCTGTAGTCTAATCCTAGGTGAGATCACTTCTTGGCCTTTTGGCTAATATCAAGTATAATCCGAATTGAGGCATGCAAATTCCCACTCAGAGTAAGGCAACAGCAGTTTCCAAGGAAGGGATTTCACTTTTTTTTTATTTTTTTTTATTTTTTTACTGTTTTTTAAAAATTTACTTTAGAGAGAGAGGAAGGGAGAGGGGAAGGGAGCAACATCAGTGAGAGAGAAACACTGATCAGTTGCCTGGGATGACATTCAACCAATTGAGCCACACTGGCCAGGACCTAGAAAGGGATTTTGATATCAGCTGATCCAGACCAGAGGACAACAATTCTCCTATGCAGGGCAAACTCTACTGTGACCATGTGGAATACAAAGACAGGGTCGGACTACAAGACCAAAAATCCCATTCTGGGTCAAGTAGGAAGGACCAGAAACCAAAACCATCACCAATGTTCTCTAACAGCCAGAAGCCACACCAGAGGTCACCAAAATAAAGACAAGCTGCCCTCACAAAGGACAACTGCCCCTTTAAAGGCATGTACACCTCCCAACAGAACAACAAGCAGGGGGTCTGAGCAGAGAGCTACCAGAAAGGAAACCAGGCATGGTTTAAACATGTGAAGACATGCACAAGCTGTATTGAGACACTAAGCTCTACCCCACATATTGATTAAAACCAAAAAGCTCACCAAGACGCTGTGTTGACAGGTATCTCACATGCTTCTGGTGGGAGTGTAGATTGAGGCACCTACCCCACAGAGGGAAATGCATTTACCTATTTTCCCTAGCAATTCCACTTTTAGGAATTTGTGTTATGGATATATGGGTACAGATGCAAAATAACACACGCGTGTGGTTGAGCGGCATGTCTTTACAGCAGCAAAACGTGAAGCCAAGTAAATGCCCAAGGGAGGGGCTGTGCAGCAAGAAGAAAAAAAAAGTTCTCATTTATAAGCTCAGGCAGAAGTCTAAGTTATACTGTTAAATTGAGAAGGCAACGGGCTAACTGGATTCTCAATGTGCTACCAGCACGTAAAGGGAGACAGCGATCACTCTGCCTGTGTGCACCTTAACCCTTCTGTGAGGGAGGCTGTCTGCTGAACCGCATCCTGCCGCCAGGATGAGAACCTGGCCGGATGCAGCAGGAGACAAAATCAAAGCTCCAGATTTCAGTCTTGATGAACATGTGACCTTTCAAAAAATCAAGTTTAAAAAAATTACCAAAATGTTCATAGTGATTATCACCGTGTATAAAATTATAGATGACTTTTATTTTGTTTATGCTTTTCTGTATTTCCTAAATGTCCTTAATGTTAGTAAAATCAGAATAAATTAACATGAAAAAGGGAAAGGATTCTGGACAAACCACTGCCTCTGGGCTTAGATGACACGTGGTGTCGCCGCCCCAGTTCTTACATCAAGACCATTTGGTGGGGTGGGGTGGAGCCTGGGAAGGCCAGGTGGGAGCGCTGAGCTGCGCAGGTGCAGAGAAGAATGTGGAAATGTAAGGGAATAGGAGGAAGAGGAGGCAGAAAGGCAATGGAACTGGAAGGCACTGAGGAAGCCTGTGCCTACATGCCGTCTGCCTAGTGCTGTGTGGTACCTGTGAACCAACTGGCCGGTGCAGGACAGGAAAGGCAACTGCCAGGTGGGCTGTCCCTTGGGCACTGCCCCCACCAAACCTCCATCCCCCACTGCAGACTCAGAGCCAGAGCCACAGGACACCCTCTAAAAAGAAAATGCGTTCTTTGCTTGTCCATGTTTAAGAGAGTAGGTGCTGAGCCACAGATATAATCAGAACAACTGTGAGGTCTCCGCTGTGTCCCCAACACCTGCTGCATTCAGACACTTAAGTGTCCAAGCCCCCAAGCTCCTCAGGGCATGGCCAACCCCATCTCCATCCTCTGAGCCTGTTTCCTCAGGGGTAAAGGGTGACAGCAACACGCACCTAGGGAAGGTGGACCCAGATCTTGGCACTGCATCAGGCTCAGTAAAATCACCTCCAGCTCTCATGCATAACTTCAGGCTCCCTTTCTGGTTTAAGGATGGAGGTGACTGTTCCAGTTGGGCACACACCAAAGGGGTTGGCACTTCCTGTCCTCTCACCCCCATTTCAGTGGCACAACAGGAGAGCAGAGGGAATTCCATTAGCAGACGCGCTCAGGCAATCAGGCCCACGAGAAGGAAGTGCACGGTATGTGCTGCTCGCCTGTCTTACCTGTCATAAGCTTCCTTGAGGTCCCTGGCCAGCTTGCACTTGGGCAGGATGTGATGGAACGGAGACTGCGGACCATCATTTGCTGCAAGAATTGAGACACACACACACACACACAAAAAAGAATTAAGACACAGAAGGATTTAGAATCTCCAAAGCAAGGAAAATCCACATGGGCTACAATAGAAAATATCTTTAAAAACAGTTAAAATACCTTTAAAAACAACTTAAAAATTTTTCAGTAATTTTAAACCAATCATCAGAATATTCACACCTGCTTCTTCTTCTTTTTTTAATACATATTTTATTGATTTCAGAGAGGGGCGGAGAGATAGAAACATCAATGATGAGAGAGAATCATTGATCAGCTGCTTCCTGAGGCAGAAGATGGCGCTGGTGGTACACTCTACACTGGGGATCAAGCCCGCAACCTGAGCATGTGCCCTGGCCAAGAACAGAGCGTCACCTGGTGCATAGGTGGATGCTCAACCACTGAGCCATGCCAGCCAGGCTGCTGCTTCTTTTCTTAATAGCTTATTGATTTTTTAGAGAGAGAGGCAAGGAGAGGGAGAAACATCAATGTGAGAGCACAACATGGATTGGCTGCCTCCTGCACGTCCCCTACCAGGAATAGAGCCTGCAATCTGAGCATGTGCCCTGACTAGGAAACAAACTGACAATGTCTCAGTGCCCAGGGCGATGCCCAGACAACTGAGCCACATCGGCCAGGACTCACAACTGCTTCTCATACAATGTTTACATCCAGATGAATTAGAATTACACGTAGGCTGTTTTGTTCAACTGTCTTTATAGGAAATATCTGTATTTAAACCTCAGGACTGGCGCCACCTGATGCTACAGTCAGAGGAATCGCAGGAACAAACCTTTTCCCTGACTGCGCCTGAAGACTCCCTCTGACCACCAGCGCCATCTTCTGCCTCAGTGACGATGTAGTTCCAGGCCTCGTCCCACTCCTTTCCCCACATTTATGCTAATACAATTTATTGTTCTGACTGAAAGTCTTTTTCATTAATCTTGTCTCATAAATATCTAACAAAACTATTTGTACTAAATTGAACTTTTAAGATGCCTGTGATAAAGTCACAGACTCTAAAGAAAATGTTTTAAGAAATAAAACTTCATTGTCAAACGTAAAAAGTAAAGTTTTATGAAAATGCACCTGAGTGGGATAGGTCATGCATGATGATCGCTGCTTTTACTTACTGCTGAAACCAGACCGGGTTCACCTTCAAATGTGTTCTTGGTTTTCACTTTTGTTACAAAGGTGCTGACCTGAGAAGACGGGGGTGGGGTCTGTTACAGGTAGGTGTCTCTCCACACTTTCAAATGTTGACAGTATGTAAAAAATCACATGGTAATGTATCTATTTTTAATAGCCTGGCCAGTGTGGCTCAGTGGTTCAGAATTGATCTATGAACTAGGAGGTCATGGTTCAATTCCCAGTCAAGGCACATGCCCAGGCTGCAGGCTCAATTCCCAGTGTGGGGTGTACAGGAGGAAGCCGATCAATGATTCTCTCTCATCATTGATGTTTCTCTCTCTCTCTCTCCCTTCCTTTCTGAAATCAATAAAAACATATTTTCAAAATTATTTTTTGTAACTTCCCAGCCGATAACTCCATTAGGTCCTCCTTCAATTTAGTTGAAAACAAAGAACTGAAAAGCACCACCCTGCCAGCTCACTACTCCCACTGGCCTCCCAAAGCCCTCCAGCCTGATGCAGGGCCAGCAGCACAGGGGCCAGCAGGCAGTGCTCGACCTGCGTGAAGAGCCATCATGAAGCATTTATGGGGAGGAAATGCTTCGGGCTAAGGAACCAATGTGAGCACATCAGGTTGGGAACGGGTCTATAGCTGTGCCCCTGCGAGTCTTCCTTTGCAATGGGGTGTGCACAGTCCAGGCTGAGGAGTATGGAACTGAGCACCTCAGCTTCCGTAGCTTCCAAACCACCGCAGTGTCCCGCCTGGACCTCTGCCTGCTGTGTGGCAGGGTAGGAGACGCCTGCTGCACTCACCATCGGCCACAGCAGACACCTCGTCCTGCAGCGCGAGGATCAGCTTGGCCTCCCGAGTGAGGTACTGGCAGCGGCGCTCCTCGTGCTGCAGCACGGTGGCGATCCGTCGGGACAGGTTGTGCAGGCAGTTGATCACCGAGGGATCCGCGTTGGCCTGTGGGAGAAGCCAAGCTTGACTCAATGTAGCACATGTACTCAGACAATACACACACAAAGCAAAACCTGAAACCATGAGCGAATCCTCTACTCCTTTCCCCCAGGCTCCTCTCCAGGTGCCACTGTCACTGACTTCCTGTGTCCCCTCTAGGAGCTGTCCATAAATGCCAGCCCACTCAGTATCCCATATTGGGGATCTGCCTGGATGGCAGCACAGAGATGGCTCCGTGGAGTCACCCAGTGTGGGGGGTAAGGCATTTCTAACGAGTAGAGAAAGTCTCCCACCCTGCAGGGCACCAGGGCCAGCCATCCAGATCAGGCAGCCACTCTGGGCCTGGCAGAGGCAGCCAGTGGGATAATGGAAGGTACAGATCTGTCCAACCACCTGCTATCTGACCCTGGGTCACAAGGCTCCCATCTAAGAAAGGATAACAGTGGCACCTCCATCACCAATTAGTCAGAAATGTCGGGTGCTTACAACAGAGATTACTCAGGGCAAAATCGCTGGCAGTGTTTGCGGTCACCAGTGTACTGCTGACTGCTGAAGGACCAACAGCCCCTCTTATAGGGACACAAAGTGTAATAAACAGAAGCACCAGGCTAAGCGTTCACCGGACATTTTCTATCCTCAAGGTTAAGTGGCTCTTTCTAGCAGAAACGACCTTGGCTAACAGGAGAAGCCAGCTGGCTCCATCCCACCCCCCCCACCTGTGTTAACTCTAGAAACTATCAGGGGCTGCAGCCGGGCCAGGCCAAGGGCGGAGCAGGTGGCTGTGAGGTCTGTGAAGATGCTCCCTGGAGCAGATAACTGGCCAGCCATGACTCAGTGTTACAGGAGGCCCACAGGGCCGCTGAGTCATCCTAAGGGGTGGAGGTGAGAAGAGGAAGAGGGAGAATGGTGCTGCTGATTAGAACCCCTGGTGCTGTCTTCCTCTCGTTTATCTGCCAGAGAGGGCCCTGCCCACAAGGTGTCCACAGTAAACACCTCCACCCCTGGGAGTTAGGAGAGATTCTCTAAACGCTTAGATTTCATGTTCACAAACAGCACCCACCTGGCAGCTTATCTGTGCTGGGAAAGAGAACCAAGGATTATTCCCAAGCTGTGCCCACCACTGGCAGCAGCCCTATCCCTTCATGGCAAGGGCATCCCCTCAACAGTGCCCCTGCAAGATGACTAAACTGCAGGGTCTGGGTTTAGGGTATACAATTGCCTCAAGACACTTCCAGAAGAATCTGTGTGGAAATACTCCCACAGCAAGGAGAGAAAGGAGACTGACCTTGAGCACATGATCATTCATGAAGAGTAATCAAGTCACACCTAGAAGATGACTCTCTGCTAGAAGACCCGCTGGCTGGGGCATGACAGCGCTGTCAGATGTGCAGGGCCCGCTTGTTCCACATTCCCAGACACGCAAGGTGGTGCTTACCCAGGCGAGGCCCCATGACCAGCACTGATGGAGTGTGCCAGGGTGTGCTGCTTGGCTGCACAGGCCAGCACTGTCCAAGGTGCCTGCAGAGCTGGAGGCTGTGTGGCCACACTGAGAGCACTACCACCTAGCACATGGCAGCCCTGAGTGGGGCTCTTAGAAATGCCACACTTTCCCCATACGTGCTGGGAGGCAGCATGGAGTTCAGGGCATCACCTATGAGACTTTCCTGTCCTCAGAATTCATACCCAAATGTAATCAAGCATTTAGTTTTCAAGAAATATAGGGTTGGCCTTAACCGGTTTGGCTCAGTGGATAAAGCATCTGTCTGCAGACTGAGGGGTCCCAGATTCAATTCCCGTCAAGGGCATGTATCTTGGTTGCGGGCACATCCTCATTAGGAGGTGTGCAGGAGGCAGCTGATCGATGTTTCTCTCTCATTGATGTTTCTAACTCTCTAACTCTTTCCCTTCCTCTCTGTAAAAAATAAACATATTAAAAAAGAGAGAGAAAGAAAGAAAGAAAGAAAGCAAGAAGGAAGGAAGGAAGGAAGGAAGGAAGGAAGGAAGGAAGGAAGGAAGGAAGGAAGGAAGGAAGGAAGGAAGGAAGGAAGGAAAGAATGAAAGAATAAATAAATAAATAAATAAATAAATACAGGGTCAGAGAGCAAGTCTGACTGCACAATGAGATGAGACCAAACATAGAACATGTGATGGGACAAATCGGGGAGAGAGTCCTAGACTGCCAGAAATCTAGAGACACAACAACACAAGTTTGTGAGGACTGAATCTTAATCCTGATTCAGACAAGACAACCAGCAAAAATGCTGTGGCAATTGGGGAAAGCTTCCATGAACCATGTACTAGTTTATACCAATTTATTGCAAATTTCCTCAGGTGTGAAAAGGGTATTCTGGTATAAAATAAATGTCCATATTTTTATAGAGATGCTTTCTGAAGTATGTAAGAGTGAACAGACATGAGGCTAGGGCTTGTCTTGAAATACATAAGTGACAATGTAAGGGGGGTGTACTAGAACCACGGTGCAAAGGTGATAGTGTGGAATCTCAGAGATGGGCGTACAGGTTTATCAAACTGTTGTTACTAACTCAGCATTTAAAACCTTTTAAAATAAACACATATACATATATTTTTACATGACTAATGAAAAGATAACTTGTCTACCCTAAGATATCAACTCTTTACATTATTTAAAATTCCTCCCACTCTTCAACATTATGGCCCATGCTATCTGAAGTCCTATACTATCTTTGGAAATCTACACTCCTCCAGGTTCCGCTATCATCCCCATTTCTCAACTTTAATGGCCACAAACATCCAGTGTATAGCAACCACCATCTTTTGCAGCCATCCTCAACTACTGGGGACCAGAATCATTTCCAGTCTAATCATTATTATAAAAATCTCTATAAGACTTCATAATATGCTTGTTTGCTTGCCTGCTATACACTTTGCTATCTCATGCTGCCCAGAGATGGGAGCCTGCCGGCAACATCTGGGTGGGGCTGTGGCTGCTCCTCACTGCCCATCCCCCAGCATGAGATAGCAAAGTGTATAGCTATCAGGACTGACAGGTGGACGGCATTCGTCATGGGTTTCGTTGGCTTGTGTTCTTCTTAATTTGAGTTTTCTTTGTGGATGTGTTTGTACTATGTAATTATATAATATAAGAATATTGTGAAGATGCAAATGCTACGGAAGTGTATAAAGTAAAAAAAAGATCTCTTGGAACTTCATGCCCCCACCACTAACAAATCATTTTGTCCTAACTTGTAGTTCTGTGTTTATCAACAAGGTAAACATTTAAAAAGTAAGCTTTATTCTAATGGATCTTTTCTCTAGCATTATTTTGATTTTGAACTGTTCATAGTGAAACATGTAGTCTCCATATCAAAAAAGGCACCGTGAAAAAAACCCGAGACTCAGAGCAGCACCTAATTTTATAGGTTCCCTTTCTACTCGGTCTCACTTCTGCCACTCTGAAGGTTTTCGGAGCATCGCTGCTCCTTGTCCCTGAAATCCAATCACTTTCTCGCTCCTATTGCTTCACAAAAGCTGTGGTGCAGATCACGTGCCCAGCCGGAAAGAACTTCTGGGTTCTTTGGGGAAAACTGATACTTTCAGAGAAATGCCATTATTTAACAGTCAATGAATACAAATTCCCTGGGTATTCCATTAATAATGTAAGCCAGTCCTCACCCAGGGGTGCCTTTTATGTTTATTTGGATCCTTATATTTTGACAGTTTTACTGGAAAAAAAATGTCCTGTAATTACTAAAAACACAACTTCAGACAACACTGAGAACTGCTTTAAGAACAATTAGGCTTCATTATTTAAAAAATGGAAAATAACAAGTGCAGTCAGTATGTAAAGAAACTGGAACCCTCATGCACTGCCTCTGGGAATGTAAAATGGTGCAGCAATGTAGAGAACAGTCTGGCAGTTCAAATGGTTAAACACAGTTCTCATATGACCCAGCAATTCCACTCCTAGGTATATACCCAAGGGAAATGAAAACATGTGTCCACACAAAAATTTGTATACAAATATCTTAACAGCATTGTTCATCATAGCCAAAAGGTGAAAAAAAAACTCAAATGTTCATCAACAGATGAATGGATAAACAAAGTATGGTCTATTCACACAATGGAATACAACTTGACCATAAAAATGAGTAAAGTACTGCCGAACCGGTTTGGCTCAGTGGATAGAGCATCGGCCTACAGACTGAAAGGTCCCAGGTTCGATTCCAGTCAAGGGCATATACCTTGGTTGTGGGCACATCCCCAGAAGGGGGTGTACAAGAGGCAGCTGATTGATGATTCTCTCTCATCGATGTTTCTAACTCTCTATCCCTCTCTCTTCCTCTCTGTGAAAAATAAATAAAATATATTTTTTTTAAATGAGTAAAGTACTGATATACATGACAAAGGAAAATCTCAGAATCACTATGCTCATCAAAAGAAGCCAGACACCAACGGTCACATATTGTAGGATCACATTCATATGAAACATGCAGAACAGGTAAGCCCACAGAGACAGAAAGTAGATTGGTGGTTTCTAAGGGCTGGGAGAGGGCGGGGGAGAGAAAGGGAATAACTGAGCTCCTTTTAGGGTAACAGTAACATTCTGAAGCTAGATAATGGTGATGGTTACACAACAGTGTTACAAGATGCCACCAAACCAACTATAATAATAAAAGGGTGATATGCTAATTATACCAGATGTCCTTCTGGATGTCCTTTCTGACAAAGCTGGGGCTAAAGGGAAGCCAGCCCAGGTCCTGGGTACCGAAGGGAAGTCAGTGCCAACAGCCAGAAGGAGGGCTACTCTTGCACGAATTTCTGTGCATCGGGCATCTAGTATACTTTAAAATAGTTAAAATGGTAAATTTTATGTTATGTGTACTTTATTTTTTTTTTTTAAAGAGAGAGAAGAAAACAGTAAGTGTAGACCAATGCCATGCCCACTGCAGGCTGAGCGCTGAGTCAATGACACACTCACCAGAAGTGAGCTGCTGTAACTCCCCTCCCCCTCCTTCCTGACGTGCCCATGCCCTTCGGCCGTGCCCATGCCCTTCGGCCGTTTATAAACACTCACCCTTAGCGCAAATACCACATTAAAAAGAATCATGGTGGGAGCCTCCCTCTTCGGGGATGGGTCTGTTTTGGAGACCTGTAAAAGACGCATAGTGCCATTGAACGAGAGCCACCACTTCCCAAGAAGAGCTGTTTAGAGCTATTCTACTTTAAGCATAGCTCTTAAAGGTTCCAAAATACAGCAGAACCAAAAGAAAACAGAGCCCTGTGGTCAGCACCTTTGCATAAGCTAGTGGTGACCGCCCGGACAGATGAGTCCCCGCTGAGATAACAGGAAGGTCAGTGCTATGACCAGCATGAAGAGGCTGCCCAGTCAAAGCAAGTGGGCAGAAGTGCCCAGAGGAGAAGAGATGGAGAGGGGCCCAAGCAGATGGAGTGTTCTCTGCCCAGACATCCTCCCCACTGCCATCCCCGGTGTCCATTGAGCTCTTGAGGCCATCTCTGTCAGGTACGCTAAGTACTCAAGGTGATTAAGAGAGAGGACAATGCTAGAGCGAGGAGAGACAAGGCTGCTGTTCTGGCAGCCAGCCAACCAGTCACAAACACCACGCTGATTTCAAGGGTAACCACTAGGAGGCGTAAGAGGCCAGGGCTCCAGCTCTCCCTGGGCTATCCCAACTAGCTCCTCACCATGCAGCCTATCACTCTAGTTTTATAGGCCCAGGACGGCTGGCAGGCTGCCAAACCTCCCCTCCAGCACCCACAGTCATAGTGAGGGATCTAATCCCTGCCTGCAGGGTTTCAGTGAGGAGGGATGGTGCTGTCCCTGGGGTTTCATGTTTTAGCACCCCCAACTCCCTCGCTCTTTCCACCAGCTTGGTCATGGAGGACATTCGAAGGCCACATCGCAGACTCTCATATTTCTGGATCAGATAAATGGAGCTAAATCTTGTACTGTCATATCAAAATCTTTCAGAATCTGAGTGCTGCTGTTGCTGATTCTGCCTGTGTGCAAAGGGCTGACTGGCAGGTTCTGGTGTGCAAATTCCTTTAGGTCACAGTGCATTCTATCTTGTTAAAACTCCAGCACTGTAACATTTCATTCATCAGAGAATGTATGTAAAGGATTTAGCACAATAGTAAGAGCTAACTTTAAAAAATAATGGCCATGAGATCACTTAAAAAGGATTTAGCACAATAGTAAGAGCTGACTTTAAAAAAATAATGGCCATGAGATCACCACTTTACCAAAGCGAGGAGCAGAGACTAAAACTTGGGGGGCAAAGATGCCTGTCTCTTTCTGGAGGTTCCTCAGGATCGATGAAGTGCAGCTGATAGCAGGCAGCTGTCAGGTCTGGCTACAATCGCTAACTTTACCGGAGCCAGTGGCAGTTCCCTGAGGCCCAGACCAGGACAGGCTGTGCTTGCCCAGGGGGAGCACCCCATATTCTTGGGGAGGCCCTTACCTGCCCCAGAGCATGCTGTAGGAGTGTTGGGTGCCCGACAAAACGCACGTTATCGATCTTCAGTTCAAATTTCTGGCCACACATTTCAGACTTGGTTGCCAAAATTGTTGCCAGAATGACATCTGAAAACCTTAAAAATCAAAAAGAGGCAGAGTGAAAATAAATGAAGAAAGTGTCACAGCCCCACACCAGCTGCCCTCAGCGGATAAGGCTCTCAGTATATGGCAGCTTTGTGTGCAAAGTGGCTTGACCCCCACTGATGACCTGGAAGCTTCTATCATTTGCCTTCTGAAGCAATCCCCAAGATTTGGGACATAAAATCACCAAAATTACAAGGTAAAAGGCATGAGAAGCATAGACTGAAGGCACATGCTGTCAATTTCTTGGCATGCTCTATGAAATTCAGGAGAGAAACAGGTTGCAGTTTGCTTTTAAAGGTAAAGGGAGGAATAACAGCTGAAGCTGGCGCTGCCCTGAGGAGCTGCTCATGAAGGCTCATGGGTGGGGGTGGGGAGCTCTACCATCAGGTCCAGGTTTACTAGGCTGCACCTCTCAACTCCCAGGAACCTCCACCCCCCAGTGCTGTGTAAAGGGCAAGAGTACAGCGTTAACTGCCAATTACCTTTCTCAGCATGATTGCCCGACCCTTCCCTTATCCTCAACACCTACACCTTCCAGCTTTTGTTAGGGAAGAGACTGTAAGAGATGAGCAAGATACCAGGCCCACGGATATGAAATGGACTTAGGATGCACAGGACTGGATGCCACAGAGTGGGAATGGCTGTGGTGTGGGTGAGAGCAGATTTGGATACGAGTTCACCCTTTTGCCAGGTGCATCAGTACACTTATGTTTTCTTACTGGCAACAGTGTCCCTTCCTGCCACAGGGACCCAGATAAGGGAGAGTCAGCACGGGAAGGAGAGTGCTGGGGGTGCAGTGCAGACTCTTATCTCAGAGCCCAGGCTTGAGGGGGCCTGCACTTTAGAAACACTGATGCACGTGTCTGAGCTGGAGCCAGGAGAGAGACGAGCCTGTGCTCATTTCTCCACCGCAGAAAGCACTCCTAGCATCCACGTTGGGAGAGCGCACTGTGTTGGAGCAAGTGGCTCCAGCTCCCCCAGGGCGATGCTCTGCTCCTGGGCACAGACCCCTGGAGCCCTGGAGGCCATCAAAGGCAGACACTCCAGCATGCATCCTGGGCCTATGCTAAGGAGCACAGTGAATCAGGCACCATACTGGATACTTTTCTCTTGGACAACCTCACCGGGGGGGCAGGGGGGGGGGGAGCGACTACTACCATACCTCTCCATTTTCTGAAGAAAAAAGATGGTCTGCTACAAACTGCTGCTTCAGCTGAACTCTGAAATAAGAAATGGCTCTGGGATAAAAGATCTGGGAAGGGGGTCGTTTGCTCTGGGCTCCTTACACATGGCAGGGCTCACCATCTAGTGAAAGAGTGGCCTGAGCCTGGCCGGGTAGGTCAGTCGGTTAGAACATCCTCCTGATACACCAGGGTTACTGGTTCCATCCCCCGTCAGGGCTATACAAGAAGCAACCAATGAATGCATAAATAAGTGGACAATAAATCAATCTCTCTCTCTCTCTCTCTCAAAATAAAAAAGTAAACATAAATTGTAATTACTTGAAGCCAGCCTGCAGCAAGAATCTTGTTGTTCAACCAGCACTCAAACTGCTGGACAAGCAGCCAGAGAACTCTTTCCAAGTCTCTCCCCCACAGGAGGGGAGCCTGGCACTGCTAAGGCCTTGGGGAGGGGGTCACACTGGTTTCCAGCCCTCCCCAGGACTGCGATGGTCCTCCAGGTGTCCTAGGGTGCTCTGTGGCCCACAGACAGTGTCAGGACTGCACTCAGCCCTTTTGACAGCGAGGCTGTCAGAGAGGTTGTCAGAGACAGTCTGGGAAACGAGGGACCCACAGCCTAAGTCCTTAGCTGCCAATTATGGGTCTTTTTCTGGGAATACTGCTCTCCGGAGTGATTAAGCAGAGACGGAATATCCCAGTGTCTTCCGCCAGAGGCATATGCTTTCCTTAAGAACTCCAATGGCTCACTCTGCCCTATAACTCCCGTCTGAGGGTGAGAGAGGGCTCAGGGTGATAAACAAACACTTCTGCCCTCATGATTGATCCAGTGCCAACATTTCACATCCTATCTAAACAAATAGCTCCTCCAGTCTGCCACCGAAGGACAAAGATAAGGTATAGAAAACAACCTCCCACTATTCCAGAAAGTTCACTTTTTCCTGTGATATCCAAACACCTCCACTAAAAACCTCTGCTCTGTCATCAAGGCCCACACATGAGCCTCTGCCTGGCCCTCAGCCACTAGTCCAGGAACCTGAGTGAGACTGGCTGTGGGCTGGGTCCTGAGAGTCAGAGGTAAGCAGGGGTCTACTGAATATCTATACATATCAAAATCCAAAAGCATCCTTCCAAGTGCCAAATAAAAAGTGCTTCCTCCCAAGACCAGGGAGGCCAGCATCTGCAGAAGGAGCCAACCAGAAAGCCTTGTGCTGCTGGAGGTAAAAGGGAAGGCCCCTGAGGGGGATGGTGCTTATCTGAGCGAGTCTGGCCCACAGAGAAATCCACTCGCCACTGCAATGTCAACACTTACAATGAGAAAAAAACACTCAGTGGCTTTATGCTTTATATAGTGTGTCTGCTGATATAATATACACAAAGGCATAGTTATATTATGAGATCTGGGGAGTAGGGGAAAAGCTGTTATAAATAGCAAATTGAAACAAAAACAAATGACAATATTTGTTTGTTGCTTCCAAAATTTACAAAGATCTTTTCCTCTTGTTTTGATGGTAAAAGGCCTAGCAAGTTATATTGCACACAATGAAATAGCTGTTACAAAACTAACATTCCTGGAATAACTTAGAAATTTAAAAAGAAAAAATTTAGGAAGATGAACCAGCCCAGCTAGAAACCAGGCCAAGACCCTCCACTCCTTCTGAGGCATTCAGGAGCAGGGCTGGATCTGATCTCTGGCTTGGTCAAAAAAGGGGGAGGGGCGGCATGGAAGGGAGCTTGACTCTGCACCCTCTGGTTATGGGGGGCTCAAAGATACCCCAATGCCCAGAGGGAATATCATGTCAGGGGAACAGGAGGGTCACACCTTACTATGCCCTCCTGAAGAAGTGCCAGGTGGGCTCCATGGGTGCATTTTGCTTCTAAAGGGCACACACAACAGCATCTAACCTCAAGCATTACACTTACCACCCAGCCCTTGGGAAAGAGGCCCCCACTAAACCCTCTGAGACATGAAGGCAAAGAGAATAATTAAGGATCTCTCTTGGGAGGGGGAGGGTAAGAAACCTTGCTCTGCTCACCTACTGGCCTCCCAGGGCTACTGGTGCCTGCCGGGAGGAGGTCTGAGTGCAAGCCTGGTCCCAGAAGCCGCCCTGGTGCCAGCCAACCTTGCGTAGGTTCTTGGGGAAGTGAAATAGAGAACTCCCAGTGGAGAAAGGGCAGGGGCCGTGGGATCCGAGCGAGAGCCTGTGTGCCTCATTAGTCATTCTTCAACATTGAGGGAGATCAGGAGTTAAGCACAATTACAAGAAGAGAAGGTAGCGGAAATCAAGACAGAAAGACGGTGGAGAAGTCTTGGTCTTACCCTGCAACCAATTGCTCATCGGTTGGAGGACATGGCTCGCTGAAATGGGAACAGGACCATCAAGACCAAACAAAAACACATTGGTTTTTAAAATCATGAAAAGTTAATAGTTGTTTTTATTAAAACAGCATTCAAGTCTAGCAGACGTACTACCATTAAGCATTAACGGTTGAGGTCAAGGCTATGAAACTTACCAGACAAGAAAGGATGCAGACAACTCCCCAAGTTGAAGACTTACCACACAGTTTTCTCACTAACGCTCAAATTCGTGAACAGAGTGGGCCAGAACGAGGGTCAGTTTCCAGAACGAGAGCAAGGCCGGAAGACCTGGGCAGAGCCTAGCGCCACACACCCTGGCCAGATGCACCCGCATTGAATCTGACAAACCGTCTCCACGGATCAAGGAAGAGCCCGTGGGTAAACACCTTCTGTACAGTGCACTGACCACCTCAGCCCCAGTTCCGGAGATGCTATGACCACCTGCTTAGCTGAGCTCACTGAGTCTCTGCCCGTGTGGCCCCTACAGCAAGGCAGTCATGGCGGAACCGGATATACTTACGTTAGGAAATGTCCAAGACCTCTGCACTATCTGACCTGCGCTTTTTTAGAAAATACATTTAAAAGCGTTGAAGTTCCTCTACATGGTCTCTAGCGTGCTGCTTTCCGGGTTTGCTGGGAACAGAAAGTAGGCCTGAGCCCCACCGTGCAGACAGCATCGCAGGGGTGAGAGCCTGCCATGATGCCATGCATGTCCCCCAGGCTGCCCTGCTGGGACTGCTGCTCCCCACAGCTCTCACCGAGAACTCACGTTACCAAGACCCATGCCAGAGAAACACAATGAAGAACGCTCTTTTTCAGCAGCTCCTGAACTTTAGCTCATTCGTTGTATAGCAGTAACGGGGTAAGATGGTGTGTGGACTTCCTCAAGATCATCCAGAAAGTCAGAATCTGAAGCTCAAGTATGACCCCTAGAACTTTATCTGCTACTCCTATACAGGTCATAAAATCCCTTAACTTTGTCTGGCTGTGTTGCTCAGTGGTTATAGAGTGTCGGCTTGCAGACCAAATAGTCATGGGTTCAATTCCCAGTCAAGGACACATACTAGTAACTCCATTGCAGGTTTGATCCCCAGTCCCAGTTGGGGTGCATATAGAAAGCAGCTAGTTGATACCTCTCTCTCTCTCTCTCTCTCTCTCTCTCTATATATATATATATATATATATATATATATATATATGCCCTGTTTCCCCGAAAATAAGAGAGTGTCTTATATTAATTTTTTCTCCCAAAGTTGCACTAGGTCTTATTTTCAGGGGATGTCTTATCTTTCCATGCGTTAGGTCTTATTTTCGGAGGATGTCTTATTTTTGGGGAAACACGGGATATATATATAAATATATATATATATATTCTATATATATTATATATATTATATATATATATGTGTGTGTGTGTGTGTGTGTGTGTATATATATATATATATTCCATAACTTTCCAATGGGAAAAAGCACACGGGGATTCCAAGTGTCAGCACTGTTCCCTTTCCTTACTGGGGAGGGGGTGACATGTAAAAGGTTAAACTCCACAGCATGTTTTATGGGCCTGTGTCTGCCCCTCTGAGGGAGGCAGAGCCATCACAAGCACTCGCACCTACATGCGGTGTTCATATGGCATCTCCTGGGAGGAGAGGCGTCTTAAGAAGAGGCTCCCTGTCTAAGGGACACGCCCAGATCACACACGTTAGGCCACAGCGTGAGACTCAGACCCGGAACCCTGAACCTGCACTTATCCCAGCATGCTGCCCTGCTGGAACGTGCCAATGTGGATACCAGTGTAGACTCAGCTGGGCCAGGAAAAGGGAAGGGAGGTACCCAAGCTTGGGGACAACACTATTTATCTACATTTCTGAGTACCGACCTAAAATCCAGCAGGTAGGGGCCTCTTCCTCAGTACCTGCGCCACCAAGCGAAGCTGACAAGAGGCTCCGGTGGAGCCCGTGTGTGCCTGGCATGGAGGACTTGCATGTTGTGTGCCAGTGAGCACTCCGGCTCACCTGGCTGCGGTCCCCCTCCAGCACAGGGCATGACCCACTGCTTCAAAAAAGGCAGCCACGTCTGAGAGGGCAGCAGTGCCCCCTGATTCCATGCCACACAATGCCAATGGGGAGATAAAGAGCAAAGACAGAAATCTGTCAAAGCTCTGGCATGATATCTAAAGTGAAATGATTCAGAGAGTTTTATTCTTTTTTTATTTTTTTAAAAATATATTTTATTGATTTTGTACAGAGAGGAAGGGAGAGAGATAGAGAGTTAGAAACATCGATGAGAGAGAGTCATCAATCAGCTGCCTTTTGCACACCCCCTACTGGGGATATACCCGCAACCAAGGTACATGCCCTTGACCGGAATTGAACCCGGGACCCTTCAGTCCCCAAGCCAACGCTCTATCCATTGAGCCAAACCGATCTCAGCTGATTCAGAGAGTTTTAAAATAAAGGTAACTCTTCCAAACCACCAGCATCTCCTTCTCGGAGGCAGTAACCAGAACAACGCTGGCAACGTGGAAAGGAAGCCAGAATAGCCATTCACATCAGGAGGGACTGGGCCCACAACAGCCTTTCCAATGGACACCAGGCTTCCTCTCCCCACGGCTCTGTCCCTGCCAGTGTGGGGTGACTAAACCAGAGATGGAAGTAAGCAGGAGCTCCTGGCCCCTAACACCCCACAATCAGGGACACTACAACTTCTCTAAACTTGAATTTCAAAACTTAGAGACAACAGACAAAATCCATTTTCTTCTCTCCCTTCTAAATTCTAGTTGGTTTTTTTTTTAAACTGACAACTAATTCTTATACCCTGAAACACATCGCCTTCATGATCCACATTTTAAAACCAGTGCCCCCAACAGAACTTTCTTCAGAGACAGAAATATTCTAAATCTACGCCGTTCAATATAGTATCCACTAGTCACATGCAGCCACTGAACATCTAAAATGTGTGCAAGTGAAACTAAGAAAATAAATGTTCAATTGTATTTAATTTCAGTTTGTTTCCATTTAAATGGCCACACTGGTCAGTGGCTTCGACCCTGGGCAGCACAGCTCTGCACCTTCACTTCTCTGAGGCAGGCCAGCACCACGTTCACAGTCACCCACGGGGCCTGTCCACACTGTTTCAATCTGGCAAACTGACAAGCAGGAACACTTTGCTGGTTCCAGAAGAAAAGCACCTTTGAGAATGATGATCCAGGACAAAGAATGGCCCGATGACCTTCTCTGCAGTGCTTCGGGAAGATGTCTGAGTGTGACAGGTTCCCCAGCTGCCAGGGGCAGGCCTATGTGACAAAATAAAGCTGGGTCCCTAAGGGCATTAACCTGTATCTCTAAAAATACAGGGATGGGGAGAGATCATCAGATGCCATAATGTGCTAATAAGATTACCAAATGGCATTACCTCAGAGTGATTTTCTTACAAGCTCTGAAAGTTACCTGCAGGGATTGTGTGCTCCTAAAAAAATACCTCTGCACAGACCATTCCGAGAGCTCTGAGTCTTCCTGTCCTGAGCAGAGCCTCACACCTACGGGGCTGAGAGGGAGAGCATCAGGAACCGGCCAGCCCCGCTCTAAACTGGTCTGGGACCCAGGAGAAGACAAAGCCACCCGCCCCGTGTGCAGCGGCAAAGCTTTCTGGGTGCCTCTAACACACTGAATGTCCAACAACCTCCCACCTCCCCTTCCCCTCCTGCTGTTCCCTTCTCCAAAGCTGCTCCCTTCAGAGAGTCACTGTCACGGCAGAGCCCCCTGCCATCCTCACACACACAAAATAAAAACCATGATCATGGGAATGTACACACTGCAGTAGCGGTGGTGCCTTGTCAGAGAACTGAGGGAAGCTGTGCAGTCTGCATGCATAAGGCCCATGTGGGGACCTCAGCTTTCCCACAGGACCATGGAGGCCACATCCTTTAGCTCACAAAGACCCCAGCTATGTTTAGGGGAATCAGAACAGGCAACTTACAATCTCCCCTGCCTCATCTGGGTCTGCGTGACCACTTACTAAGCTTTAAAATGAACGTAAGAAGGCAGAAGCGGTCATTTCTCCTGTTGCAATGATAGTTCTTCCCACAGAGAACAAGGGGACACATACAAGAAGGAACAAGACCCGCTTTCACCTGTGCCCTAAAAGGCCAAGGCTCAAATCAGCCCCAGCTCTCTGCCCATCTCACCGTCTGCACACTCTGCCCTGCACCCAAGCACCTACATTTGACCTCTGGGCTGTGCCTGAGGACCAAGGTCTGAGGACAGCACGGGTGTGCTTTCCTCCACGCTCCCCTCACAGGAGGTAAATGACTGACAGAAACTGGCCTCATCTCATCTCCAACCCGCTTCACAGCTGGAACATGTGACCAAAGTATACAGCAAGCCAGAGACTGGCAAATCAGTCCCCTGCCCCATGCTACCCAGAACACCCACCAAATGGGAAAAAAGAACACCCGGTTTCTCAGGGGAAGCATAGGCCAACAGCAGGTGGAGCTTTGCACAGGCTTTGGGGCAGGACTAGCTCCACCATACTGCTGGGGCCCTAAGTGACATCAGAGCCCTTACCTGGAGTCACCGTCCTGGTCCTCGGCATGATCTCCAGTGTTGTTGACAGCGTATCTGCTACGAGGCTTATCTGAGTGAGGGCGAAGAAGAGACAATGACTAAGAAACCAGGACCCATCCACAGACAGGATTGTAGAGCCAGAAAAAATGATGGTTTCTAAAATGTGGTATACAGCCAGGCCGGTGTGGCTCAGTGGTGGAGCACTGACCTATGAACCAGGAGGTTCACCGTTGGATTCCCAGTCAAGGCACGTGCTCGGGTTGCAGGCTCAGTCCCTAGAGTGGAGTCTGCAGGAAGCAGCCAATCAATGATTTTCTCTCATCACTGATGTTTCTATCTTTCTCCCTCTCCCTTCCTCTCTCTGAAATCAATAAAAATAAAATGTGGTACATATGCACAATAGAATATTAATCAGCTATAAAAAGGAATGAAGTTCTGGCACATGCTACAACGTGGATGAACTTTAAAACATTATGCTAAGAAAAAGAAACCAGACACAAAAGGACAAATATTGCACTTACATAAAATATCTACAACAGGTGAATTCATAGAGACAGAAAGTAGATTAGCGGTTACCATAGGCTAAGGACAGGGGAAATGTGGAGTCATTGTTTGGTTACAAATTTCAGTCTGGGGTACGGAAAATGTTTTGAGGTTATACAATATGGTGGATGTGATTAATGCCACTGAACTGTATATTTAAAGATGGTTAAAATGGCAAATTTTATATTATATATTTTTTACCATAATAAAAAAATTTTCAGAAAATATGGTTTCCAAGAAGTTATGATAACTTAGGAAATGCTTTTACTACTATTAAGACAGAAAAAAAGATAAGTATAAATATATTACACACAGATACACATATATCCACACATATCCTCTCACTATACGATGTCAACTAGCTTGTAAAAAGCATAGGCAAAAGGATATTTAGCTCTCGGCCTTAGCGCCATCTTCCTAGAAAGCTCTGTGCCATGACAGCCAAGTGGAGGAAGAAGGGAATGTGCGGGCTAAAGCGCCAAAAAGGAAAGATTAGGCAGAGGTCCAGGCACACCGTGAAAGCCACAGGAGCAGAGATAAGGCAGCCGGAGGCAGGCACACCGATACAAGCTGTAGGCTGCCTGCCTGCCGACTAGCACTTCTCAGTGGGATCTGAAACATACATACATGCCTTCTGAACACCGTGGCCACCTTTTGAGAGACCCACCCTGCTCTTATAGAAACAGTCCCTTCTGGATCTTTGCCCTAGACCTGGAACATTCTGGACTGGTGCTGTCCGCAGGTGTGGCTGGATTTCACATGTACAATTTATCAACTCTTCTGTCTTAGCTGAAGAAAAAAAAATTTTAAGTCCATATATTGCCCTAGCTGGTGTTGCTAAGTGGTTAGTGTTGACCCTCGCACCAAAGGGTCACAGGTTCTATTCCCAGTCAAGGGCATGTACCTTGATTGTGAGTTCACTCCCCATGACCTGCGGGAGGAAAGCAGTCAATGTTTCAATGTTTTTCTCTCTCTCTCTCTCTCTCTCTCTCTCTCTCTCTCTCTCTCTCTCTCTCTCCCCCAGTGGATAGAGCGTCAGCTCCTAGACTGAAGGATCCCAGGTTCAATTCCAATCAAGGCACATACCTTGGCTGCAAGTCCCTGGGTCGTGGGTGCATGCAGGAGGCAAATGATGTATCTCTCTCTCTTTCTCTCTACCCTCCCTTCCCCCCTCCCCAACTTCCTTTCACTCTCTCTGAAAAGCAATGGGGAAAATATCCTCTGATGAGGATTAACAAAACAAAAAAGTTCAACCTGCCCTACATGGCTCAGTGGTTGAGCGTCGACCTATGAACTAGGAGGTCACGGTCTGATTCCTCGTCAGGGCACATGGCTGGTTTTCGGGCTCAGTCCCCAGTGGAGATGTGCAGGAGGCAGCCAATCAATGACTTCTCTCATCACTGATGTTTCTATTTTTCTCTCCCTGTCCCTTCCTCTCTGAAATCAATAAAAAATTGAATAATAATAATAAAAATACTGTAATTACAATGCATGGTGCTAGGAGAGTATTAGACTTATCAATTGCTCAGTTAATAAATGATATAAATGTCTAACCATTATGCTGTATACCTGAAACTAATATAAAATAATACTGACTATCAACTGTAATCGACAAATTTAAAAAAAAAAGGAAAAAAATAAATATGCTCATTATCCCTTAGATTTAACCATCCTACTTCTGGGAATTAATCCTATATCCAGCAAAATAATACACACAGGAAGGACATTCACACTGGTTATAGCAGCAAAAAATTGGAAACAACTTAAATACCCACCAACACCATCAACAGAGGCCTGGATAAATACATCACAGTGTGCTCATCCCATGACTCTAATCCTAATTCTGAAACCATATCAAGATGGAAAATGAAAACAACACACACAGGACAGTGTGTCCTTTCACTTGTGCTTAGAAAAAGTAAAATATATGCATATGCTTGTATTTACACAGGAAAATGGTAACAGCAGCTGCCCCTACAAGGAGAAATGGGTGACTGGGTGTGTGTGTGTGTGTGTGTGTGTGTGTGTGTGTGTATCAATGGTGGATAAAGAACATTCTTTTCATAACCTAAATCCCTTTGTACCTTATTAACAAATGTTAAAACAGAATATCAATTACAAACTGAGCATTCCTGATAATGAACAGCTACACGTAACCTACATGTCCACCCACAGCAGCTGCATGCTACACCTAAGAGCGGGGTGACCTCTGCTTATTAGGTCATAAAGTACCCCAAGGCTGTTCAATGGAAGAGCCACTGCAGATCAATACAGTTACGTGAAAGGGGGGGGGGGGGGGAAATCCCCAAATAATACATTATTTTCCTATGGATACATAGTGGGTGACTATTTACAGGAAGGACAATGTCTAAAATGGTAAGCAGTTATCCCTGCAATGGAGGAGCAGACCTGGTGTTAGGTACCAGTAGTCAAAAAAAAAACTTCAGGTGGATCTGTAATTTCCTGTTATTTCCAAACTGAATACATTTATATGAAAACAACAACAACAACAACAATAAATGCAACTACTTTAAAATGGAGCTGGAGCTGCTATCCCAAAAGTGCCTGAAATGTCTTATCCCTCACATCTTTGAAATGTTAAAACTGGGCAAAATGACCTTTGGACTGGGCTTAAGCAACCTGTGCCCCAACGAACTGACTTATAAAGCAGCCCTAGCCTGTTTGGCTCAGTGGTAGAGGTCAGGGCCCCGGGGTTTGATTCCAATCAAGGGTGCACACCTTGGCTTCAAGTCCCTGGGGCCCTGATCAGGGGTGCATGAAGGAGGCAACCGATTGATGTGTTTCTCTCACATCAATGTTTCTGTCTCTCTCTCTCTCCTTCCCACTTCCTCTAAAAATCCATGAAAAAGTATCCTCAGATGGGGATTAACAAAATATATATATGCAAATACTATACCTGACTTAAGACTATCAGACTGAAAATTAAAAACTGCTCAGAATTAACTTTACTATGTTACCTGACCAAAAGAAATAAAAAGAAATAAATGCCTTCCTTCTATTGGTATGTTTCCTTTCCTTTTTTCATAACTACCCAAAGCCTTTGTCTCTCAATCAGAACACTATTTGGAGCATCCCAAATAGCTATGCTTATTGACCTCAAGGAAATGCTTGTTGCCTCTCATCCTGGCCTTTTGTGGTTAGGTTAACACATGCAGTGCTCACATATTTTTTGAAAAGGCTGCAGACATGGATGAAATGTTAGCAACAGAAGCTTTTGGCTACTGAATTATGATTTTTCCCCCCCTCCAGTTTCTTTTTATTTGTCTACACTTTCCAAACTGTACTAAGTACAGGCCTTGAATGTGAACGTGCGAGGCGGAGAGGGAAGGGGCCCTGCCGCTGGTCGCTCTGGTCCAGCGGCCAGGCGGGGCCCGGAGCGCCAGGCCCGCTCCCGGCGCTCACTTACTTGTCTGGGATGCCGGGTGCTCCTGGCTTCTCTGGAAGGGGTACCTGAACAGCAGTTTATTGCCCCTGCTCCCCGAGCTCACCAGAATCACGCTGATGGGGCTGGTGTTGTCCCCCATTCTACCCCGGGGCGGGGGAGGGGGAAGGGGGGGGGCTTAGGAAAATTGCCGAGGGCGGGGCGGACGGGCGGTGTTGGGAAGGCCGGAACCGGGCAGTGGGATGGAGCCTGAGGAGGGGGACCTGACAAGGACGCCACCAAAGCCACGGAAGCCCAGTGGAGAGCCAGAGCAACGGAGCCAGCGCCACGGAGCGCGCCCCGGGAGGCTCGTGAGCTTTCCACCCCGGAGCCAGGCGGAAGCGCGGTGGGCACCAGCCCGCGGGCCGGGGAGGTTTGCGCAGGCGCGAGCGGCCGTGTGCGCAGGCGTGGTCGCTCTCTGGGAAGTTACGCATGCGCGTGGATCGACCTTCTTCCTGCTGAGGAGAAGGGACCCGCCCACCTGTGTGAATTGGAAACTGAAGCCAGATCAGCTCTCTCGGGTTCTGGTTCAAGGCCGCTGTCCCCGAATGATTTATTTTTCATTATAAAAGTAATACTTGCTTTGGGCAGAAAGGTTAAATTTACAAATATAAAGTACTAAACTAAAAAAGGTTTTAAAAAATCATGTCAATGGATCACAGACCTAAACGTAAGACCTAACACTATAAACTTCTTACAGAAAAGCATATGGGTAAATATTCATGATCTTGGACTGGGCTATGATTATTTAGATATGACACCAAATGCACAAGCAACTGCAGAAAAGCTTAATTGGATTTAATCAAATTAAACATTTTTGTGCTTCAAAAGACACCACCAAGAAAGTAAAAAGAGCAGAATAGGAAAAATATTTATAATTCAGGTATCTAATGAGGGAATTGTATCCAGGTTAATTTTTAAAACTCTTACAAATAAACAATAAAAAGACAACTAACCAATTGAAAATATGAAAAGGAATTGAATTGTTATTTCTCCAAAGACTATAGACAAAATGCCAATAAGCACCTGAAAAGATACTCAACATCATTCTCATTAGGATAATGTAAATCAAAACCAATTGCAAACTTTATTTCTCTCTAAATCAATACATGGCTTTTATTTTATTTTAAAATATCACAAGTAAGTCCTGGCTGGTGTGCTCAGTGGTTAGAGCATTGGCCCGTGCACCAAATTGTCTCAGGTTGAATTCCCAGTCAAGGATTTGCATGTAAGTTGATTGTAGGTTTGATCCCCATACCCGGTCAGGGCTCATGGGGGAGACAACCAATCGATGTGTCTCACTTTGATGTTTCTCTCTCTCTCCCTCTTCCTCTTCCTCCCACCCTTCCACTCTCACTAAAAATCAATAGAAAAAATATCCTCAATAAGTATTAACAAAAATATCCTCTGTTCCTGTAGCTGGACAACTTAGATCTCACTCATCAGCCTGCTGAACTGTTCCTCTTTCAGAAACATAGATGGCATCTAAAATTTTTCTAATATTCTTGTTTTTAACTTTGTGGCTTGCTGAATCAAAGCAGCTGAATTTGATACAAGTTCAATGTCATTTCCTTCAAGAATTAATTCATCTTAAAAAATAATCAACTCATCTCTCTGGGTTTGAGATACTAACGAGCAATGCCTGACCTCATCCGAACCTTGTATTTTTCACCCAAGAAATCTCTGATTTCAACAGGAGACCCATTCTCCTGAATATCGGCACTGATGGGGAAGGGAGAGGACGCGGAGCTCATTCTGTAACGGAAGCTCAGGGTAACACCTTGATCCTGTTCTGAACGTGACCGCAGGTGGTGTGAACGGTAGCCAGTTCCCTTCCATTTCCCCACCTTTTTTTTTTTTTTTTTAAGACAATTTTTTATTATTTTTATTTTTTTTAATATATGTTATTGATTTTGTACAGAGAGGATGGGAGAGAGATAGAGAGTTAGAAACATCGATGAGAGAAAGTCATTGATCAGCTGCCTCTTGCACACTCCCTACTGGGGATATGCCCGCAACCAAGGCACATGCTCTTGACCGGAATCGAACCCGGGTCCCTTCAGTCCCCAAGCCGACGCTCTATCCATTGAGCCAAACCGGTCTCGGCCATTTCCCCACCTTTTGTCAACACGGAGCTGCTTCCTTTTCTTTCCGGGGAGACTGAGCTCTATATGGATGTGACCGGAGTCCCTCCGCAGGGCGCCTGTGAGGCCCCGCACAGTCACTGTGCGTCCCTGCAGGGGGACGCCCACATTTTCTGGGATGTCAGCAGTCTGATTGCTGAGAATGGTCTTCGTCCTCACAGTAGATGTGACAAAAACAAGGAAATTGAATCGCACACTTCCAATGGGTGCAAATTATATCTCAATACAGCTGTTTTTAAAATCACCCCATGCACCAAATCCAAGTCTTCCCCGGGAGGTGACTGTGGTTAACCATCTACTGTGGCTATTTCCAAATCTTTCTCAAGCATTTCAAATGCATGAGGGGTAATCACTGGACTAAGGGCTTGCTGAAGTAACCTCTTGCATTGAAGCTGACACAAACATGTATTTTGCAAGGCAGGTTTATGGCTTGAATCTCCCGGGGTGAAGAGTACAGACATTTGAAATGCCTCAGACATTACCAACCAAGCCATTGCCCTACACAGGATGCATAGCATTGACTTAATTTTCCCCAAAAAATTCCCAAAAAGGAAAATGGTGTGACTCTTTTTTTGTTGCATTTAATTTTTAAAATATATGTTTATTGATTTAGAGAAGAAGGAATAGAGAGATAGAAACATCAATGATGAGAGAGAATCATTGATCGGCTGCCTCCTGGATGCCCCACAATGGGGATCGAATCCGCTACCTGGGCATGTGCCCTGACCGGAAATTGAACTGTGACCTCCTGGTTCATAGATCAATGCTCAACCACTGAGCCAAGCTGGCCAAGTGTTGTTACATTTTTAAAAATTATTACTGAGGTGGAGAACTGTGTCACTTGATTATTTGCCAGTATCTCCGAATTGCCCTCTTGTTTTCCTTACGGGATGTTTATTCTTCTTTGATGGTTTGGACATGTTATCTTGATGTTACAGATCCTGCAAGCCTTTCCCCCAGTCTGTTTTGACATTATGTATAATCAGTAGTTTTCTGAGTTCTCACACAGTTCCCAGAAGTGTTTCTGGAATGGAAATGAGGGCACAGAAGGAAGAGGTGAGGCTGGGAGAGCTGGCCCGATGGGAAAGGGAGAGCCCACTGTCTGCAGAGATGGCCAGCTGTGGTACTGGAGGTATCTCCACAAGGGCACCAGGAACCTGCTCATGCCTAGACATAAGGACCGGGCCTCTCGCTCCAGCCTCCTTCCTCCAGCTTCCCTGGACCATGCTGCTAGCCCACCAAACAGCCGCACGGCCCCCAAACCTGGAGGAGCAGGGCTGGTGTCCAGGGACTCGGAGAGGCTGTCTCTGAGCTGGGAGAAGGCCCAGAATTGGAGGAATCCACTATTCCCCAATTACCCCTCTGAGCCCACTTACTGCTAGCTACTTTCACAATAGCATTCACTGTTTGTTTTGGGGGTTAAATGCTTAATATCTTTTCATTATAGCACGCATTGGAGTCCATGAGAGGTGAAAGGTCACCAGGATGCCAGCACACAGGGGCTCGGGTACATTGCTTCCCAGGCTGCCCTCACAGGGCTCAGGTGCAGGAATGTCCACCCTCACCAGCAGCATCTCAGTGTCTCCATTTGTTGACTTGATTGGGCTGTTACAGAAATCAGAGCTCCTGTCATTCCCTGTCCAGTCCAGGCTGGTGCTGGCGGCCAGAGGGACTCAGGTGGTCTGGACATGCTTTCGGCCTCAGCTTCCCCACTAGTAACAGGGCTGGGAGCAGATGGTCTGTACGTGTGGTCTTTTAAAAAAAAAAAAAAAACTTTTATTAAATTCGCCGAAACCAGTTTGGCTCAGTGGTAGAGAGTCGGCCTGCAGACTGAAAGGTCCCGGGTTCGATTCCAGTCAAGGGCATGTACCTTGGTTGCGGGCGCATCCCCGGTGGAGGGTGTGCAAGAGGCAGCTGGTCGATGTTTCTCTCTCATTGATGTTTCTAACTCTCTATCCCTCTCTCTTCCTCTCTGTAAAAAGTCAATAAAATATATATAAAAAAAAACTTTTATTAAATTGATTAGGATGATATTGGTCGACATGATCATATGAACTTCAGGTGTAGGTTTATATGTTGCAAGATCTATATATTGTACTGTGTGTCCATCACCCAAAGACAGATCTTCTCCTGTCACCACATATTAGGTCCTCTTTCTCCCCACACCCCCTGTAGGTGCAGTTTTAGCCTGAGGCCCTCACACTGTCCCCTGGACAACCATGTACCCAGGGCCAACCTCCTTTCACTACAAGGTACGTCCTCAAACTCTTCGCTGCGTACACCCCGCAACTCTAAATCCTCACTTTAAATTTAAGTACCAACTCTTTTGTAACCTACCTCTTTTGAAGGGAAACTGATTCTTGAAATCCTAAACTCCTGACCTTTCCTCCCAGCTTAGGTCCCCTAGGCAGGGCCAGGCCTTATCAGTCCTGCCACTCAGTCCGGGCCTGATCAAGCTCCCACCCTCTGTCCGAGGGCCGGGCGGGGCTCAAAGACCCTATCTTGGACCCACTCCCACACCTCCACCTTCTCTGGTCAATGTTCCTGTCCAGGAGAGATCACTCACCAACAACAGCAACCACAATCACCTTGAATTCACAGTGCCATTATCTCTCCTAACAGTGAGGTGGAGGCTGTTCTGAACACCCACCTCAGAAGTTAACACAGTGAAACCGGGACTCACGATGCTCATTAGCCTGCCCAGAGTCACCCAGGGGTCCTTTAAAAGGAGGGTCTCCACTGAGGGCCTCTCTGAGCTCCAGCTACAAAAGTTCTGGGTTTTGAATTCTGTTCAGAGACCAGTAGGTCTCAGTATCCTGGAGCACAGACTTGGGCTCCTGTGTCACAGGAAACCAAGGCCCAGAGACAGAACAGACTCACCCAACCCCCAAAGCACCAGCAGCCTGGCCCACAGCAACCTAGGTCTCCTCTCCCATCAAGGGTGGTTCCCTCCTCCAAT